GATCACGACGATAGATCGTAAATCTCACACTGGCAAGCTGGGAAGTGATGTATTGCCACCATCTTCAAACGCTCTCGAAATCTGCTTCTCTTATCCGCAAAACGACTTTTTAGAAGAAGTTTGAGGCGTTCAAATGCGTTTTTTTCTTCAATAAAATGAGCGCATTGCACTGAGTTTGGGCCTAAAAGCGGTAGCTGGATATCAATGATATGCACTAAAAGGATGGAGCGCATGAGATAGTTAGCCACTATCGACACTCTCCCCAGTGGCGGTCGCAGGATTTCGGACCGGAGGGGAGGGGGGGGGCGCTAAAAAAATTTTCGAGTGAGGGTGCGTGGCGTTAGCCACGCACTCCGAAAAAATTTTTGTGGTGCTTCTCAAATTTTTTGCGGCCCCATAGCCCCCAAAATCAAGAAAAAGTGGGCGTGGCGTCAGCCACGCCCCCGAAAAAAATTTTTTCACAAGGCTAATTTGAATTTGTAAAAAATTTTAAAAATTATTTTAATTGTTTACAAGTAAAAACAAGTCACTTGCACATTTTTATAACCCGTATAAGTAACTCTCAAAAATTTCGCGACCCATTCTCGGGGAGGGGGGCGCCCCCCGCCCCCCCCCTCGAACCGCCACTGACTCTCCCAGTTAGTGGAAATGCGAAGACCTGTCTCTGTTACGCTTCCAAGATTTCTCTTTGCTAGTGCTGCTTTTTGCTAAGCTCTTTTTAACTAAGAAAAATGTTTCAAACAAAATAGGATACAAACACGATAACCCTCGGAAATGTCGAGAAAGTTATGAAGTCGAGAGTTTCCTGGGAAAAACTGACTTAGTGAGACTCTATTCAAAATAGCAATAGCGCCTTGAAAGACACTGATAAATTATCGATCGATAGATTTAAGTCGATAAGATAATGTAACTGATAATTTTGACTTCTTCCCTGAAATAGTATGTAAGCAGACGTTGCAAAGAAGTCTATTTAAGTTCGACGCGATAAATTGACTCCAAGGTAGCATAAGAAAAGTGCACTTGTCCAGCCCACACTAGACGTATTGCGATTGTGATTTGGAGTATGGTCAGAAGTAATCCTTATGCGATAGCGTAGTTGTTTAAGGTGGATCACGCTGATCAAGACTCCCGGATGAATTATACAAGAACCATGGAACTTCTCTATTCCAATGCCTAGCAGCTTTATTATCAATTGTCAATGGTCTTCTGGATATGAGGGAGGGAAGGAGGGCAAGCAATTGGGAAAAGACGTTTACTTAAATGCGTGACTCATTTTCGAGATCACCAAAGAAGAATGTTTAGTCGAAGGGAGCTTTTGAGACGAGATGAACGAGATATGACACAAGCTGCACACAAATCTGTCTTTCCTTATCTGTAGAGCACTTTTGTGCGAGAGTAGATGAGGGTACGTAGGAGCGAAAAAAAACTGAATGAGCTACTGGGAAGATTATTGAACTTATCCTAGCTGAAATTAAACAGCGATGGAGTGAAGACATATTCAAACTAACGGGAGGAAAGATCCTCAGTGAGAAGGGCCTTTCCGGAAGAGACTCTTTAAAGGACAACAAACGCTATTTTCCAAATCTGCCACCCTTACCTGCGGAGCGCTTCAGTATCAGGAGTTATGAAAGCGCCTAGCAAAAATTGAATTCGTAGATGAAAATAATTCGTAGAAGTCTTTTAAGAGCTGAAAGAAACATTGGTGACTATCAAACCTTTATGAAAAGAAAAGTTCGTACCTGCTACCCCTGTGCTCGCCAGTATTCCATTTGCAATGTGGCAAAGCTATCACCACTGATTTCATTCTGATCCGTTCAGTTTCTTGACTCGATCAACGCTCATAACTCCTTACCCAGCGGCTTCGCAGATAAGGAAGACAGATTTGAAGTCAGCGTTCAGTGCTCTATAAGAATGCACGCATCTCATCTGGAAAGGCGTAAGAGAGAGAGTTGTAAGAGAGAGTAGTGCAAACTAAAAAATTTTGGGATGCACGAAGTAAGCTTCTCAGTCGCAAAGGTTCTCTACTCTTCAAAAAAAAAAACAGCATTTTTCTTCCTGCAAAAAAGATGTCGCGGAGATCGAACTTGCTGGCCACAAGTATGACCAAAGATTCCAAAGACATTTTTAAAAGCTCAAATACTGGCATGTATGTGTGAAAAGAATGTTGAGTGTACCAACTGGTATAAAAATCCTTTCTCTGAAGTCTCACTAAAGTCACACCCTCGACAAAAGCGCTCATCTCTACCAGCGATGACCATCGATAATTTTTAAAACTTTTTTGTTATGTCTTTTCAGGGCCCATACAGTTTACCTGTATTCTGGAGATGCTCTGCTATAGTTGTGCAAAGTCTGCTTATATTTCATAGCCTGTGGATCTTTTAGAATTTTATATATGGCAGCAAAAAATGAGGAAGGGGGTATATTTGGGTCGCATCTAAATTTCTCCGGAGCTGTTAAAGCTTGTTGGCTGCAATCCTGCTGTAATATGAGGCCATCCTTCTAACTCTATCATAAAAATTTTAGGCTGTTTCATAACTTCTGCGGTGAGTTACAAAATTTCAAGCCAAAAGCCTCAGTTTTGCTTTTCAAGATCGCATCTAAATTTGCGAGAGTTGCATCAAGATTTTCTCGAGCTCACTGCTCCTCAATGGCTGAAACATTTTTCGTGGATAGTCGGGCATAGTACTATACAGCCTATTCACTACAACCTCTCAGTCATTTCCTGACCTTAGTTACGAATTTTCAAAGTACCGTGCTCATGCACGTTTTTAGCATCGTTCTGGAAGGCGCTAGAACGTTTTTTTTTTCGCAGAAGAATCTGTGCAATAGATAGAAAGTGAGCTTTTCAGTCGAAAACAATTTTTACGCTTCAAAGATATCGTTTTTTCTTACTACAAAAAAATATTGTCGCGTACGGGGATAGAACACGGGACTGTCATTAAAGTCTAAAACGTTCTAATTTCTAGAACCATATGTACCACTGGACCATGAAAGAGTTACGCCGAACGTTCATAAACAGTAGAAAAATTTATCAACCTTCACTAGGAAAGGAGTTATTATGAAAAAGTCAATTATGATGACTAAAGTGAACCGTTCCGTAAGGCTGAATTTTTCTTGGTTGTTATTTCATTTTATTTTTTATAGGCAAAGTACAGCTTAAATACCATTCAAATCAAAATCGATGCTCTGCTTTGTCAGATGACGTCTTTTCCATTCATATTTCCCAAGCACAATAGGTATATTCTTGTAAAATTTTACTACTTACCCAATCTGCCTAGAATTATTTGTTTTTTGAGTGACGAAGCATTACTTGCATCATCTCGCAATTTGTAAGTAGTTATCTTTCTCTGACCCTATAATTTTGATTGAGGTCCATTGGCAGGCATCTTTTAGACTGACATTCGTTTATGCAGGAGTGGAGGAGGGGAAGGGGGGGGGGGGGGGTAGGTGGGGGGAGAGGGTCGTAAGGATGGGTACCTCTAGGGGAGGGGGGTCGTAAGTGAGGGTTCCGGACCGCAACAGCACGCTTGACCCTGTTTGTAAGAGCGAAAAAAACTGAATGAGCACTGCAATAAGATCACTGGACTTATTCTAGCTGAAATGAAACAGCGGTGAGTGAAGATATATTCAAACTAACGAGAGGAAGGATCCTTAGTCGAAAGCGCTTTCCGGAAGAGACGCATAATTCCTTGAACGACTTCAAACGCTACTTTTTACATCTGTCTTCCTTGTCTGGAGATCGCCTCTGTAACAAGAGTTATGAGAGCTTTTGTAGCGAAAATTTGAACGTGTAGTTAGAAGGAAACAATTTAAAGAGGTCTCTTATGAGCTCAAATGGAACACTGGTGACTGTCAAACCTCTTTATGAAAAGAAAAGTTCGTGCCTGCTACCCCTGTACTCGCCAGTAGTCCATCTGCAATGTGGCAAAGCTATCATCATTGATTTCATTCTGAACCGTTCAGTTTCTTGACTCAATCAACGCTCATAACTCCTTACCCAGCGGCTTCGCAGATAAGGAAGACAGATTCGAAGTCAGCGTTCAACGCTAAGAATGCACGCATCTCATCACCTCGACAGCGGCTTCCTTAGTAGTATTCATTGCACGGAGTGCCGTGACAATCACCACTTATTACAGCCATTTTGTTCTAATCGTGAGCTCAATTTTACGCTCTTATGAACGCCCACAACTCGTTACGCAAAAAAGTTTTGGAGATACCAATGCAATTTTTAAAATTAGCGCAACATGCCTTTCAAAAAGGTATGATTACATCTTTGAAAGTCACTTCGACTAAACACCCTAGTACATCGCTGCAACAGATTCGCGTTAGATCAAGGATCCTGGCAAAAAAGATGAACACCAATTCAAAAAAAGGTGCAAAAGAAGGACATCTAAGTATCTAGTCTACCTTAATGTCAGCATCGTTTTGATTGTAGAAATTTGTTTGATTGAGATTCACATTGGAATGCTACGCAAACAAGGTGCGCCGTAGCCTTATCTAGAGTGCAGTGTCAAAAGCGTAAAGTGCTAGTTTCAGCTCGCAACAAAATCCGATGAAATCAAAAGGGTGTAAACACAGAGTATGTGGGCGTAGCTACGTGCCATGGACGACTACAATATTCAATTTTGAATACAGAAGAACGGCAAAAGAACAAAAATATTGATACTTGTTTTGCAGTAGTGGAAAGAACTGACAGGAGCACTGTTCCGTAAACAAAAAAAAAGCTTTGAGATAACCACAAATAGTCAACAAGTTGGATACTGCAAGAAATAAAGCTTCAAAATACTAATGGACAGCGATAAACCGCTATAAGCAGATTCTCTGCGAAGAAAATTCATTATTTATTAACGAAATGGTGACCGAATGCACAAAGTTAATGAAGTCAGAATTAAAAAGAAGGCTTGACAATATTAAACGAAGATAATGCCGAGGAAAATCGATGGTGACTGCTTTCTTTCCGGGTTGATTCCCAAACTTCCATTGCTGCACTCACTTCCTTCTTATACAGTGGGGCCAAGTACGGCCCAGACAGCCATAAGTGCACAGAGCAAAACCTGCAACGACGATGTAAAAATAGTAGCCTACACACTGCTTAAAGGCAAACACCATGAACATGAAGTTGAGGATGAAACATGAACACAGTTTATTCAAAGGAAGTTGAAAAGAACCAAAAATGATAATAACCGTTCAATCTGAACTATGAAACATCATAAACATGCAAAACTTCAAAGTCGTCTACCTTTGCATCTAAGAACACGTTATTCCCTCTACCGCAATTCTGAAAGTAATTCACATTCTTTTTCTTCTCTTCAACTGATATCTTTTCGGCCCATTTGTCCTTCCATCTGCAGCGAAAAAAAAATTAGCAAAAAACAAAAATGAATTTGACTTTAAAAAGTGAACAAACTTTGTCAAAACGTCACAGACTTCCTTCCGGGCTTCATACAAGCATTTAAGTCGACATATTTCATTTGACATCTCCTCGAAGTCTTTTTCAGTGTGGCTCTCTAGAGATAACAGAAATATTTAGAGAGTCTGTATAATGACTCCAGCGGTGCTAATACATACCTGGATCATAGGAAGCCGGAATAGTTCGTTCGATATCTGCCACATGACAATGGTCCCACAGTTCGGTCAGCTGAGCATGCAACTCAGTCCAGCGGAACTCTTTCTCTTGCACATGCTCGCAATACATCTCTTTTAACTAGAAACAAACAACAGATCTGCCCTCATTGTCGGTCAAACTAAGATTTTTACCTGGGCATGATAAGTTTCGATACTGCCCATCATAGTTTCGGAGAAGCAAACATCTTCCTTGGTGAAATCAAGCTTGAAGATGACTTGCAAGTTTTCGTCATCCGGATCCAATGAACTACCTATAAAATAGTATACTCGTATACCAATAATCAGTGTTAAGCTTTACTGACAAGGGAAGGATAACAGGTCACAGTAGCAAACCGAAATTATATGCATATCATTCATGCTTATTGATGAGCTAATTCAAAATCTACTTTTCTTAGTTGCCAAGCGCTTTTCCGGAATGAGATATGGGCGTTTAGAGAAGCTAATAGGGTTGTGATGCAATGTGCAAACCAGCTCGGTAGTGATCAGTTGGCATGGTTATGAGTGCATAGTTGAATACAAGGAATGCATACATGCTCCAACACATAAATGTTTTTGAACAAGTAGTTCTTGGAGAAGTGGCATTTGATGTTTGCCAAACTTGGACATTCAAACACTCACAACTTCTTTTAGGAAATAGCTTAGCAGATATGGAAGATAGATTTGGAATCAGCTCTCAAGACACATCTAATGATAGGCATACCATTTCGTTTCGCCCTTCCCTTGTGAGATTGGTGAGAACAAAGTATAAAATGAGACCTGGCTACAGCTTTTGCTAACCACTGACAAGAGCCACAATCTCAGTCACCTCACACGTAAGGCTTAAAAAATGTGCGGTTACCCGACCCCTAACAACACGGAATATGATTTGCATGGAATGACTGTTAGTAGTGAGTATCAAAGAAGGAAGAGAAACATGAACGAGAAAGTTTGACTAACTTAACCCACCAACTTTACGTGAGAATTTCAGCATATCGGCCTGCCATAGCGAAGCTTGACGTATTCTTTTCTGCAGCATGTCATCCAACTTGAGACGACGCGCTTCTAACATGCGAAACTTTTTTTTTTAATCCTCGCATGTTCCCTCATACGGGGTCTGCTGCTCTAGTTAGTCTTCTCCACACTTCGCGGTTTTCAGCTTGATGTTCATCTATCTCGAGTTCTCTCAAGTCTGCTTTGATTTTGTCTATCCATCGTAACCTTGGTCTTCCTCTTCGTCTCTTTCCAGTTACTTCGACTGACATTGCCATTCTAGCGACGTGGTCATCTGCTCTTCTTCTTACGTGTCCGTACCATCGGAGTCGCTTTTCTTGCATCTTCTTGACGATCGGAGCAACCTTCATCGTGGCTCGTATGGCATCGTTGGTAACGTGGTCCATCATTGTGACACCGGCTGTCCATCTTAACATGCGCGTCTCCATCACGCTGATCCTTCTTTCTTCGTTCCTTGTACACGGCCAACATTCGCTGCCATACAGAGCAGTTGGGCGGACTACAGTTCGATACAGCTGCGATTTCAGCTTGAGCGGCATCCGCTTGTCACATAGTATTCCTGTGAGGCTTCTCCATTTCGTCCAAGCTGCATTTATTCTACTGGTAATTTCGTCTTGAAGCGTGCCGTCTGCAGATATGCGACTTCCCAGATAATTGAAGGTAGAGGTCTTCTTGATTGAAGCGTTCGCAATCTCGATAGTACCGGGGGTTTGAGTTCCCAGTTCCATATATTCGGTCTTCGTGGTGTTGATCTTCAGGCCATGTAGCTCTAGTTCGCTTTTCCACTTCTGCACTTCCGCCTCCAATTCTTTTCTGCTTCTTGCCATTAACATTCTAACATGCGAAACTTCTCAACGGAAAATAGATCCTGAAGACATAACTCAGCGAATCTACTTATCATCAATGTATATCTTGCAGTGAAACGAGCTCATTTGACTAGATGGAAAAATAGCGATAAATATAACGATAAGGTGAAAAAATCATCAAGGGAGAATCATTAATAGTAGAGTTCTATGGACGAAAAACTTTTCAAATTGTTTACTTACGTTTTCATCTGTTACAATCTCATCATCGATCCCAAGGCGGTTTAACAACTGCGTAAGCTGTTCCAATAACTGATCCTGCTCTCGCTTTCTAGTCTCGTAAAGTGGCGTCAACTTCTTCAGCTCCTTTTCGATGGATTTGAGCTTAACAACAGGTTTTCCAACATATAATTTGGGCTTGCAAATGACAGACATAAAAAAATGGCAGACATAAGGAAAAACAGGTTCAGCCTAAAAACTATGCAGAACTATGTTAATAACCTTATATGCCTGACTCACAAGCTCAATAGATCCTGGAGGGGCCTCAGTATTTTCCCAAGGTTCCATTTTCAATTGAGAACGCATCCTGTCTATTTTGTTGAGACCATTCTCAATATCTGTGCCTACTGCGGCAACCATATTCTCCTCGGATGCAACCTATGTCAAATCAGACTACACGCTGAAGTATCCGACATGATAGGTTTTGAAACTTTACCATATTGCTGAGTAGATTTGTGATATGTCCGAAAGCCACACCAACTCGAGCAACTCTAAAATGCAATTAGTATTGGAATATCTCAAGTACGTGAACGATTCAGAAGCAAATCATGTTATAATCACCTTGCTGATTCGGACATATGGACCTGATCCCATAGCTCATTCAGTTTTGCCACTGTCTTCCTTAAGTTATTTTCAACGTTTTTGTATGAATCATTCACAGACAGTCTTAAGAAAGATGTTTGAAGTCTGATTTACACAACTGGAAAAATAGAAGCAATCAGAACTTACCTTCTCGCATCGACTGTTCTTCCTACACGAAAGGGTGAGACCATGTCTTGGGCTCGGAGTTTCTTTGGTGAGTAATCAATTTTTATTTCTGAAAGAGTGAGATCAAAAGTCTCGTTTATTCGTTGGCCGTAATGACTGCTGACCGCGCAGCGACCGCCGCGCGATCAGCAGAAAACGACGGAAAGATCACAAATGTAGAAAAGAAAATGACGGAAAGATCACAAATGTAGAAAAGAAAACGACGGAAAGATCACAAATGTAGAAAACAAACAAAGAATTCTTTTCATGTTTAGCCACGGCCCACAATATTACTTCTACAGCCACCGCCTCTTACAGTAAATTAGGCGTAAAATCAATTGTGTTGCGTACTTTGCACGACACAATTGATTTTACGCCTAAATCGCCCAATGTTGGCGTCGTGCTGGAAAGACTTGTGTTTCTTTTTGTTTTCTGATGTTTCTGGATTTGTTGACAGTGTCAGTGTATCAGAATGGTATTTATGGGTGGCTTTGAAGGCATCATCTTCGGAAAAAAACCTTTTTTGTTTTGGTGAGACACGGAATTATTTCATGAACTCCTAAATCACTGTTAAATGGCATCACCCCTCCGCGAAAATCAATCGAATTTGTTGTATAATGTTTGGCGATCTTGTTTTAGTACGCGTCTATGACACAGAACAGATTTGGCAGTCGTTGCAATTTTCAACTACAGTATTCTGGCGCCATGTACAGGGTATTCGTGGCGGGAGTTTTGCGTGTCAGCCAGTTCGGAGACTTTGTCTCCAGTCGTATTGCAACGGATCAAACTTGCTGATAAGGGCTTTTGTGCTTTATGGATCACAAAAGGAGCAAGTACAAGGATAGTGGAAGTTGGGTCTGGTATACGCACACTAAGAACTAACCTAAAGCGATGAAATGTAAAGTTGGACGATATTCCAGAGATTGAGAAGATTACTCGTTTTTCGAGCCATTGCTTTTTTACCTAGGTAGGAGCAAAGAGGTTTTGGACATGCTATCACTGATCAGACTTCCTAAAGCACGAGGTCACCTCTGTGACGAGCGTCAATCGCATGCAAGATGGTTCAAAATTGTACTTGTACCTAATCAGGTGGGATGATTACAGAACTAATTAGAAGTCGAGAGACTATTTTATAAGAGCTTATGTAACAACCCAACGATAGCCATCCTTTCTCAGCAAACACAATTTTAATGGCTTGTCAACCAAACTAGTAGTGGCTTGAGTCATTGTTGAGGATGTAGCGATAGGTTTAACATCATGGATCGCTGAGTAATCGATTATTAGCCCGCTTGGCTCTACGCTACTATCAAATGCTCGGAAATATTACACCGAAACAAGTTTGCTACTGATTCTGGACTGGTATTCTGCAGAACTCTTTTACAGCATAGGCCATAAATTTCTATTGATGTAGCATAGTGTTCTCACTTATACATTGTAGTTCTCGTTAGACATAAAGAGAAGGTCGTTCACATCGCGATAGATAATTTTATCGTCAAAACTCTCATTCCCCTTGCTGATGTTACCGGAAACCAGCAAACTTCTTAATGAAGGAGCTTACATCTATTGCATGTGACAAGATTCGATGAGTTTTGACAAATTCTTGCATAGCTATCTAAGTATCCGAACTTTGGTGAACATATGCGTGACAGAAATCAGCAAGAGATGCCCATTGTATCGTACATCTCCAGAATTGTTCCCCTGGATACTATCAACGTAACTGCCCTTCTTTCGTTCTAAAATGTAAAGTTCGAATAGGCGCTCAAATTTGCTGGAGTCATCATGTTAAAACGATTGAAAGGCAGCCACGATGGTATATATACCCACGGGACAATTTTGAGGGATGCACCAGTTATTGTCTGCAACTCACTTCAGATTTTATGAAGTCAAACACAATGCTAAACAAAACAACTCACCAGCTTTGACCTGCTAGTATCTATAGTATTGACCATGAACATGCAGATTTTTGACCACTAGTCAAACATCAAAGCAAATACATGCATCAAGATTCAGTGGCGGCTTCGATCTGCCGCTACTTTACTTCCTGATTCCACAACTTTTTGCGAGCATGTCTGGGCCGAGTGATTTGGGCTGATGTCACACAGAGAGGATATGCCTCCCCCTGCGCTACTCTTATTAAACTACTGCGGCGGAACCTCCTTCAGCCCGGTAGGAATAGCTGATGGCGGATGGCGCCATGCAAAACTTCATTTTCGAAGGACCGAGACACTAAAGGTCCTGACGCGAATACCCTGTAAATGGCGGTCCTATACTGTAGTTGAAAGTTGCAACGACTGCCAAATCTGTTCTGTCTCTTATCTGCGAAACGACCTTCTAGAAGAAGTACAGGCCCCGTAAAACCCAGTTGCCCACGCGTCGCTTTGAACACCAACACGCGGCGCGGCTGAAAACATTTGGTCCCGAAGCGCTACAGCTTTTTTCGAGCGACAGTGAGCGCGCGTCCTTTCCACACATATTTTTTTAAACTTTTGAGGGGGGCTTTCGTCGAGATATACCTTGCATTGACGATAACAACATGAAAGCTAAAAAAAGATTTCCTGGAATATAGTGAACGCCGACAGTCGTTCGCGACGACCGCTCGCTTACGCTGGTGTTCAAGGCACGGCGCGGGCAATTACGTTTTACGGCGCCTATAGTTTAAATGCGTTTTTTTTTTTGTTTTAATAAAAGACTGATCGCATATGCACTAAGTTTGAGCCTAGAAGCGGTACAGTCGAGTAGATTTTCTGCTCTATATAGTGTGTTGCACTGTTGGTGAAATGCGTTAAAATTTGTGCGTGAAGAAATAGCTAAGCCTATGGCGCCTTCCAATTGCGCGCAGAATGCCGCATTACTGGCGTGGTTAAATGTTTACGCGCAAATTTTACCGCATTTCACCTAAAGTGCAAGCACACTATATTAAGCGGAATACCTACTTGAAGGTAGCTGGATATCAATGACACACACTAAAGGGAAGGAGCACAACCATTAGGAATCCAAATAAGCGCTTTGGAACACCTTCTTATAAATGTGTATCACCAGATTCCTGACATATTCGGATGTTCGAAGGCTCATAACTTCTTCCAAAGAATCGTTCCGAAAATAAGGAAGAAGATTCGAAAACAGCTCCCAAAGGTGCCTCTGGCGGTGTAAACTTCTTTCCAACTCTCTAACAGCACGACTATGCGCTGCTCTTGTCAGCAAATTTCAGTTACTACATTAGACCAAAAATGAGACTTCATGAAATATTATATACTAGCTGGCTTACCCGGCTCCGCCGTATGTTCCAAATAGAAAATTCCATGTCTTAACCGATCCGGACCAAACTTGACACACATACACTTCGGGCCCCGGCGGGTGTCACAGTCCACTTTTCGTTATCGATCGATGTCGATATCGATTTTTTGCAAAATTTGAGCTAGGGGCTGGAATTTGGCAGAGGGGTGTAATCGAGCATGCTGATCACCCCCACGGGGGTGATCAGCATGCTCGATTACCCCCTGTGCCAACTCCCAGCCCTGTAGCTCCAATTTTCCAAAAAATCGATAAAATCGATATCGATCGATGACGAAAAGTAGCCTATGACACCCGCCGGGGCCCAAAGTGTATGTGTGCCAAGTTTGGTCCCGATCGGTTCAGAAATGGAATTTTCTATTCGGAACATATGTACAGACACACAGACATACAAACAGACATTCAGCTTTATATATAAGATATTATAGGAGAGGATAGTTAGCCGATATCGACATTCTCCCATACTGGAAATGCGAAGACCTGTCCCTGTTATGTACGCTTCCATGATAACCCTTTGCTATTACTGCTTTTTTCCGAGCTTTTTAGTTATGTAGGAAGTTCCAAGCAGAAGAGGATACAAACGAGTACCCTTCGAAAATGACGAAAAAATCATGAAGTCAAGAGTTTCTGGAAAGAACTGACTTAGTAAGACTCTATTTGAAACCTAGCAAGAGGGGCCTTGAAAGAGTGACTTATAAATCATCAATTGATAGATTTAAATTGATAAAATGATTTAACTGATAATTTTGATAAATTTTTCTCTGAAATATTATGCAAGCAGAGAAGTCTATTCAAGTTCGGCGCAACAAAGTGACCCCAAGGTAACGTAACAAAAGTGCATTTGTCCAGCCCACTCTAGACGTATTGCGATTGTGATTTGGAGTATGGTTAGGAGTAATCCTTATGCGATAGCGTAGTTGTTTGAGGTGGATCACGCTGATCAAAACTCCCGGATGAATTATACAAGAACCATGGAATTTCTCTATTCCAATGCCTAGCAGCTTTATTATCAATTGTCAGTGATCTTCTGGAATATGGAGGAGGGAAGGAGGGCAAGCAATTGGGAAAGACGTTTACTTACAAGGGAAGTCACTTAACTTGAGTCAGGCTTTTCAAATGAGACATCACCTTGAAACGCTGATCTCAAATCGGCTTTCCTCAGCTGCGAAGCATTCCTTTGAAACGAGTTATGAGCTTTTCCCTGAGCATTTTGTGTGTTGACCGACTTAGGCATGCTACGGTATCATCATCTAGGTAGTGGTTCAAATGCATATTATACCCTATCAAAGCCAAATGACTCAACTTGATGTTATTTTGATTTTCCACCACTTTTTGAGCATATTTTCATCTAAAGACCTTCTTCCATATTCAGTTGTATGTCAATGACACATACTAAAAAAGCTCATAACTCGCTTCAGAGAAACGCTTCGCAGCTAGGGATAGCATATTTGGAATCAGCGTTCCGAGCTGACTCTAAATATATGTGTTTCATTTCAAAACCCCTACCTAAGTTGAGTGACTTCCCTTGTTAGATGCGTGACTCATTTTCAAGATCACCAAAGAAGAATGTTTAGTCGAAGGGGGCTTTTGAGAAGAGATGAGACGAGATACGACACAAGCTGCACCCAAATCTATCTTTCCTTATCTGCGGAGCACTTTTGTGCGAGAGTAGATGAAGGTAGGAGCGGCAAAAAAACGGAATGAGCTACTGGAATTAGATTATTGAACTTACCCTAGCTGAAATTAAACAGCGATGGAGTGAATATATATTCAAAACTAACGGGAGGAAGGATCCTCAGTTAAAAGGGCCTTTTCGGAAGAGATAATAACTCTTTGAAGGACAACAAACGCTATTTTCCAAATCTGCCATCCTTACCTGCGGAGCGCTTCAGTATCAGGAGTTATGAAAGCTTCTAGCAAAAATTAAATTCGTAGAAGAAAATAATTCGTAGAAGTCTTTTAAGAGCTCAAAGAAACACTAGTGACTGTCAAACCTCTTTATGAAAAGAAAAGTTCGTGCCTGCTACCCCTGTACTCGCCAGTTTCCATCTGCAATGTGACAAAGCTATCATCATTGATTTCATTCTGATCCGTTCAGTTTCTTGACTCGATCAACGTTCATAACTCCTTACCCAGCGGCTTCGCAGATGAGGAAGACAGATTCGAAGTCAGCGTTCAACGCTAAGAATGCACGCATCTCATCACCTCGACCGCGGCTTCCTTAGTAGTACTCATTGCACGGAGTGCCGTGACAATCACCACTTATTACAGCCATTTTGTTCTAATCATGAGCTCAATTTTACGCTCTTATGAACGCCCATAACTCGTTACGCAAAAAAGTTTTGGAGATACCAGTGCAATTTTTAGAATTAGCGCAACATGCCTTTCAAAAAGGTATGATTACATCTTTGAAAGTCACTCCGACTAAACACCCTAATACTATCGCTGCAACAGATTCGCGTTAGATCAAGGATCCTGACAAAAAAGATGAACACCAATTCAAAAAAAGGTGCAAAAGAAGGACATCTAAGTATCTAGTCTACCTTAATGTCAGCATCGTTTTGATTGTAGAAATTTGTTTGATTGAGATTCACATTGGAATGCTACGCAAACAAGGTGCGCCGTAGCCTTATCTAGAGTGCAGTGTCAAAAGCGTAAAGTGCTAGTTTCAGCTCGCAACAAAATCCGATGAAATCAAAAGGGTGTAAACACAGAGTATGTGGGCATAGCTACGTGCCATGGACTACTACAATATTCAATTTTGAATACAGAAGAACGGCAAAAGAACAAAAATATTGATACTTGTTTTGCAGTAGTGGAAAGAACTGACAGGAGCACTGAGTTTCCGTAAAAACAAAAAAAAATGCTTTAAGATAATCACAAATAGTCAACAAAGTTGGATATTACAAGAAATAAAACTTCAAAATATTAACGGACGGCGATAAACCGCTATAAGCATAGATTCACTGCGAAGAAAATTCATTATTTATTAACGAAATGCTGACCGAATGCACAAAGTTAATGACGTCAGAATAAAAAGGAAGGCTTGACAATATTAAACGAAGATAATGCCGAGGAAAATCGATGCTGACTGCTTTCTTTCTGGGTTGATTCCCAAACTTCCATTGCTGCACTCACTTCCTTCTTATACAGTGGGGCCAAGTACGGCCCAGACAGCCATAAGTGGGCAAAGCAGAACCTGCAACGACGACACAAAAATAGCAGCCTACACACTGCTCAAAGGCAAATACCACGAACATGAAGCTGAGGAGGGAAAAAATATCCACAGCTCCCTTCAAATCCTAGTTTTCTGAGTCGTGCAATGCTAAATTAGCATTGAACGACTCAGAAAACTAGGATTGGGGTCAAGCAAGGGGTGGGGCATACGCTCGCTGATTTACGACCCCCCCCCCTGATTGCTTTCTTAATAGGACCCCCCTGAATTATATACCTAAGATAGCATTACCAAAGGCCCTGTCAAACATAATGGCAACATTACATAATGAGCGTGTCAATTAACCCCTGTAGACAAACTTTGAGCGAATTTTAAAGATATAAGATACTAAGCCACCTAAGTGTAACGGTGATTTTCCAACATGATTAACTTTGTTTCGAAAGTAAACTAGCCATCCTTTTTTGAACTTAGGACAGAGCACTACTCCTTTTTTGTCCACCTCAGAAATCCCGCTTCAAAAGACCTCCAAACTGTGGAATTAGAAGCCAACCAAAATCTTATTTTCCCATTTTTCGCTTTTAATGGCTGTGCTTTCACCAAGTATTACTCAGAGCTAAGAAGACGAATGAGGCTTAAAACAGTCCCATGGAATCTACGAGGTTTAGGCTATCGACTCATATAAACAACGTTTGCTAAAAATGCTTTTTTGATATAGTTAATGGGGTGTGGCACCACCCCTAAAAAGCTGTGGCAGCCACAGACTTTACACTGCAGACTTTACAGTGTAGATGCAATTTATGTAAAAAGAATGAAAACTTATGTGAGCAAAGGGTCGGTACCAGCTCAGCTGGCACCCAGCTGGCACGGTGCCAGCTAAGAAAAATGTTCAGCACAGCATTCATTTACATACATCATCGTTCGGGTCCCCCCAACGCGCATGCACGCAACAAATTTGGCGTCATATGACTGCGTTTTGTTTGTTGACAAGGCTTTTGTTTGTTAGGGACAGATTTTGAATTTCCGCGCAGTGTTAGCACCGCATGCCGGCAGCATACCGACATCATGCCGTTGGTAATATGCGATTGGCATACTGGCGGCATGCTCGTCGTGCCCGCATTTTAGCAAACAGCGGCATTCTAACTCGCAAAAGCGATATCCTCTTTGCTTTCCGCCCCAAAAACGACATCCAGCTTGATCCGGTGCCAGCTGTGCCGAGCCCTGCATGGAGTTCTAAACTTTGCCCATTACTGTACCCATTCCAAGCGGACCAACCAGCATCCTGTACGGTCACCAGGCGAGATTTTTTTGACTTTATATACACCATAATCTGCCCCTTGGGCTATGGTTTACTCAAAGACAGTGCGGGCAAATCGATTCTTGAAATTGTTTCAAAGGGCGCCCCCCCCCCTCTCCGCCCCTTCCGAACAAAATATCTCGGACGGCCACTGCACTACAATCATCAATACTGTATTTAGGATACATTTCCTGTATTAAAAATGCGAATATTTTGCCAGAAAAAGCGCAAACACCGCCGAATATTGTCCCATGCGCGGCAAAGTAGACCACCCCTACACACCTGACTTTTGCGGATGCAACCAATGTTCCTCCACTATCTCAACGAAACCTTTGTTGATGACACCCAGACGATCGCGCAGATCTTGCACCAGCGTCTGCTCACTTTTAGCCTGTAAAATCAAAATTAGCAACGAACCTGACTCGGAATGAAATAGGGCAAGTCTCTTCATGTTCGCTAAATTTATCGATAATCGCCCGGAACAAAGCATTTACCTAAAAAAAAGGGGGATCGGAAACCAATCGTACGTTATAATAAGTGTACCCAAGACTTTTCTCTCGTTGCACTCGCAGTGCATTCAAAGCATCGAGGCGTTTCTGCCTCACATCTTGTTTAGTGAGTTTTGTGCTCTGTATCTTCCATTTTTATTATATTTTTCATTTATTTATAAATTCTTATTTTTTATATTCTACTTATTTATCTATACATTTACCATTTTATGTACTACATAAAAAATTAACTTACCTCACTCGCCTCCTTTTCATGAATCGCTTCAGCGAGTTCTTTGTTTTGCGATATCAGCTCCAGCAGAGACTCCTCCTTGTCCCACCATATCTGAATCTCCAGCTGTTGATCGTAGACGACTTCGTGAGTCTGCAAGAAACTGACATTTTTCATCAACTTGTTGAAAATGCGCATTTTACCATTCTCAGCTCCTCAGATAACTTTTTGGCAACTTCATGGATATCAAAAGCATTTTTGGTTGCTTTAAATCGGCAGTCTTAATAGCCAAGTTCTGCAAAAAAACCATGAACTTATGTAAAGAAATATATGTGTTTTTCATCTTTTCAACATCATCCAGTTCATCTACTCGTTGCCGAAGCTTCAGTTCCAATCTTTTGTTACGATGGTATATTTCCCGATACTGCTCATCCATGATTTCTTGATCTTCGGTGAACTATAAAATAAAAAATTGAGTAACGGGTCAAAGTAGACAAAGGTAAACCAAAGAGTCACCTTTTGAAGCTTTCCTGTGGCAGCGTCAACTTGGCCTTCGAGTTTTTTGAGCTGCTCAGTCTTCGTAGCGATCTCCTTCTCCATCCCCCTGCAATAATGGCGTCTAATTCAAGAGTTTGTTCCTCAAGGAAAAACGGACTCGTAGCTTTCCTCGCTAAGGAAGATGCCGTTTTTCTCGCGAGCTGTCCGCAAGTCGCGTCTCAGCCTCTCGATCTCGTCGTTATTTTCCTGAAATTAAAAGCATTAGAGGATTTCTGCTCTCTTTGGTTTCTCTCAAATTACCTTTGAAGGTGCCTTTCTGGAGAGCTTTTTATTGCACTCGGGTGGTTTTTGATGGACATCGCCCTGACAGCATACCGCTGCCGGCAACGGTTGTCGGTGTTGTCGGGGTCGCCGGTCGTTCTAGGACCCCATGGTAGCCTCCACGTTTCGCGCTCTCTCTAAACTGTCTCTGGCCCCGACAACCGCGACAACATCGACAAACCGACAAAACCGACAACCGTAGCCGGCAACCTATGGCCGTTCCCTTAGAAAGCACTCCTGGGTAAAAAATGCGGATTCATAAGGAAATCATGTCAATTCAAATGCCACACATTCACTCCTTTCCATGAAAGCGGCCTCTGCAGTAGATTGAAAATAGAATTAAAGCGACCGCCCGCGCAGTGCAATTACACTATCATGCGCGAGCTGGACTTTAGCTAAAGTATGAATATAAGTAACAGTCGTACCTTTACTCATCAATAAGAAAATGAGAGGTACACATCAAAAACAGAAAGAAGCCAAACTTGGCGATTTTGACTAAAAGGCTGACTCGCAAGTATCGTTGCGGATGCGCGCGCGAGGCTGTCGCCGTTACAAATCGTGTGCAATAATACTCATATTTGATAATCCTACGTAGTACTGGAATATCCCCGATAGGCCTACATGCAAAAATGTCTCCACTGTATAAGTAACGTGTCACTATGGTGCCCATCTAAGGGTAATCCGAGAGGTCAGGCACACCCTTTCTAACGACCCCTCCACCCTTTCACACCTATTCAACGATCCCTCATTCCTCCCCTTCACCTCTAGAACAATCTCTCATGGAGAGAAATAAGCAGCTTTCAAAAAGTTTTCCATATTTGAAGTTTGTACTCGCAGTTTTCTGTAGTTGCACACGAGTTGTGGTACAGTAACAGGAACTAACAAGGGAGGTCCGATTAGTCGAAGTGGCCTTTCCAAATGGTTCTTATACCACTACGTAGATCATCAAACGGTGATTCTAAATTTGGTCTTATCATCTGCCGAGCGCCTCTGCCTGCCGAGTTATGGACATTTTCTTGGTGCGAAAAATGAACGCATAATCTAAAATCAAATTTTACGGTCTTCTCAGCTCTCAAATAGAGCAGTGTTAAGTAGTGTTTTGGACAGAAGGTATTGTTCAAATGGAGTGCCCTGATAATCAACATTGGACCTTTTGAGCAATTCTAACAAATTTTGTTCTAAATATGCATCCAATTTTTGAACTCAAGAAACGCCCATAACTCGACGTCTAAAGGCGCTCGGCATATAACGAAGACAGATTTGGAATCAGCGTTCGATGCTCTTTATAGTCGTATCAATCTCATGTGAAAAGGCCACTCAGACCGAATGGACCTTCCTTGTAAGTTCAAAAGTTGTGCACCATCAATAGCCATAACTTACTCAGAATTGTAGGATTTAGTGTTCTTATATTTCTAGCAAGCTTAAAAATCGTTTTAGTAAGGCAAGAAAAGGTTCTAAGCATGCTAGTCATATGAAAAATGAATCGATTTTTGGACGCTGGAGTACTTTATCATGTCAAAACACGTTACTCAAATTCGAAAACGCCGCTTTTCGACTTTTCGAGAAAATTATTGAACTCGAAGTAGGTAATGGTCTGTAGAGCCCATAGAAGTTATATGACATGATGATGATTACGGAAACCACACCCACTAGACAGGCTTCTTTGGTTATGAGGATACGGCGATAGATGAAGATGAAGAAACTTTGCTGTAATTGTGAAAATGGAGTCACTTGGTGCAGATATAGTCGTACATTTTCTATACATTCGGAAGATACTGGGTTACGGTGGGATGCTAAGTCTCGCTACTACGTGGATTGCGGGGGAAGGCGGCAAATACATCTATTCGTTAGCGTAAACCTTGTAATTTTCATGAGACTGATTTAGGCCTGATTGGTGTTTTCTAGTTTGAGACATCGGAAGCCAAGAATGGGACAGACGAGACTTTGGCCTGCACCTAACACCTTAGTTTGGCGGTTATGTGAAGTGTAATCTTATATATTAGGTTGTGTAATAATTCGTTCGCATTTTTTGTTTCAATTTTTTCTTAGTATTTTACAAGACATTTGGCATAGTGTTAGTATGCATTCGGAAGCTCTAAGTCTACCCTACCAAAATACTATCATTATATTCCCAGTTTGTAAAAAGTTGAACAAAAAAGTCGACTACAATCCGAAAAATCTGAATTGGCAAAAATCCCATTTTCGACAACTATGTTATGCCGCACCTTGAATGGGCTTGAGCGCTTAAGAAACAGCCCAAAAATTTTGCGACATGTATAAATAGAATACTATAGCTCCCGCAAATTACCTGTAGTGCTAAAACCTTTCAAAAACAATTCATATTGTAAGCTTAAATATAGGTATGTTTTTATGTCTTTTTGGTGTCAACGTTAAGCATCTGAAGGCACCTCTGAAGAAAGGTGGTAGCCGAATAATCCAGAAATTGGCAGACATGTGGTCTATGATCGCTAAATCATCGAATGGCTTATATAGTCAAAAATTCAGAATTCGATGGACACATAGCCCACGGACGCGAAACAACGAACACCGCTGCGGCAAAGCCTGGCTAGGCCGAGTTTTGCAAAAGTTGCATTAAACGGTCGGTGAAAGGAAATGGGCAATCGTAAATAGTATCAGTAAATGCATAAATTGTTAGTCAGTTGTTTTTCTTCGTAGTCAAGTTTTTTGAATAAATTTCAACAAAGAATAACGGGAAAACTAAGGAAGAAAAAAGATGTCGAAAATGGGATTTTTGCAACTTCAGATTTTTCGGTTTGTAGTGGAATGTTTTATCCAAATTTTCAAAAACTGAGAATATAATGACAGTATTTTTATTTTGGTAGAGCAAACTTAGAGCTTCCGAACGCATACTAACACTATGCCAAATGCTTTGTAAAATATTGAGAAAAAATCGAAACAAAAAATGCGAACGAACTTATTACACAACCTAATATAAAGCTGAATGTCTGTTTGTATGTCTGTCTGTCTGTATGTCTGTCTGTGTGTACGTATGTTCCCAATAGAAGATTCCATTTGTAAACCGATCCGGATCAAACTTGGCACACATACACTTCGGGCCCCGGCGGGTGTCATAGGCTACTTTTCGTCATCGATCGATATCGATTTTATCGATTTTTTGCAAAATTTGAGCTACGGGGCTAGGAGTTGGCACAGGGGGGGGGGGTAATCGAGCATGCTGATTACGATTATATAATGACAGGGCCGGGCGGAGCCGGGTAAGTCAACTAGTTGCCAATATGAGCAAGAAGGAGCAGTAATACGTACTAAATACAAAAAGAAATAGCTGAATCGGCTTTGAGTTAAGAAGTCCAAAAATGACCATTTCACTTGAGTGGAGCATTTTGGAGACTTCGGATTCGTTAAACTTGGTACACAAGGGTTACTTGACATGCTTATTACGAAAATTATGCTCTTTTGCTTACACGGCTTCTTTATTATGCTAACTATATGTATGCGATGGTAGGTATACCTCAATGTGCTTGTATTTTGCATAGTGGTTTTGTGTGAGATTTCTAAAGCGGTCAAGCGCTTCACCTCACTATATCGTGCACTTCCTTGTGTTTTTAGACGACTAGGTCCAAAGCAAATTCTAGGCAGTATAGAGCAGATTTACGCCCAACTTGACAGACCAAAATGGTATAGAGAATACGCCGCGATAAGCTAAGTACGAGTTTATGTTTGGAACTAAAATTCGTTCATTTACAGGATTTGCAGAATCGCAAAAATTGCAGCAGCGATATAAGTGGTGATATCCGCGTTCTTTGCGAAAATCCCTGGCGTTATTGTTTGTGTTATGGGCAATACCGCGTTTTTATCGTAGCTATTGCGAACTCAATATACGCATAATCTCTAACCATTAGCATTAGAACAAGTTATTGCAATATAAGGTCGCAGACCAATGGCTGTCTTTAAAGTGTACAGTGCCTCTAAAGTGACGAACATGAAATAATTGGAGAGTTGCGACAATGTTTCAGTTAAGCTCTAGAGACTTAGTCCTTGTATTGCTTTGGAAAAATTTCTGTGATGCGCAAAATCAAAACCTAAGCACAGGACATGAAAAAGAAGGATATCTTGCAAATTCTATCGAAGTGTTGCTGGCTGCAGATCATCTCACTATCAAACGTTTTGCATAGTTATTGAAGATGAACTACAGCTTGAGAAAGGTACGCAAGCAAGAAGAAAGAAATAATTAGTTGATGCAGAAGAGCCAAGTAAGAAATGAAAATCATTTCGAAGCTTCACCTAAACACTGTTTTTGCGAAAAGTACATCCAGCAAAAAGTACAATCAAGGCAGCATCTCGGAGCAGCTTTTCGAAGTGAAAAATGCTTGCACTAAAGCAACTATGACGTTCTTAGAAACTATTTCAAGCGCTTCAGTCAAAAAGCTTGAGTAGCTTTTCTACCTGAGGGCGTGGATATAAAAAGTGCAATTCGTGGAAGACTAGTTGAGGACAAGAAATGACAGCAGGTGAGCGAATCCTCATTCTACAAGGTTATTTCCACTACTAGCCCTCGCTTGAATTACTTTCAGAGCTGTGGCAGTTGTCTTTATTTGGGCGTCGACCCTGGTGAGCAGGTGCGATCCGAGTACCATCAATTTTCATCAGTTGCGATCGTGGCAGGTTTTCAAGGGCCTCTCTAAACGGAGGTCGTTCGCCTCATTTTTGTTCCCATATTCGAATATGTCCTCACTTAGAGAGTTCAAAATAATTTCTAGGCAAACAAAAGAATTCAGCTACTTGAATTCATTGAAACTCGCACTGCAGTTTTTCACTGCCATTTTCTTAGGCACTCAGCAACTTCCTTTGTGTCTTATTCACTGAATTTGTCCATGTCCATCTATTTGAAGACTACGATAAAAATTCATTGAGTCATGTTCCTCTTCTTTTTAAAGTGCATTTTTTTCGAAACACAGGCAGCCTATGCAGTGACATTATCCTTCAATTACCCAACTTGAGCAAGTGAACCGCAGAAAAAATACAAAAAAACTGACAAAAGGCTGGCTATTAATCTCTTTTTTATTCGAACTCATCGTAATAATCCGCAATCTCTTCTATAATAACATGATCCTCCCGAACTCCTTATTTCATATGTACTCTTTTTTTTTATTTTGCCCTCAACAGCCGTGTCATTGTGTCAAGTGAGGTCTAGATGACTTTTTTAACTTATAAGAAGTTTCTGGGACATTCCACTTGTCGCAAGGTGAATCCAGATAGCTCTAGCGACATCCTATGAAATATTTGTTGTATAGTAAGGTGCTCGAAGATAGATCTATAACAGTCATTGTGATTATATACTAGGATATCTTATAAGTGATAACTCAGCAAAAGAAATCACCATGTTCTTAAAATTGTTGTGATCTATGAAAATGTAATAAATCTCAAGCCATTGACAACAACGCGAATTTCACTACTTTTAACATGAATTTCTGATAATTTGCATCATCAGCTGTTACTTTTTGACTGATACTGGTAGTAGTCAGGAAGCTAAAGCTTGTAGAGTTGCTTAATGAGAAACCGGCGCATCTGCAAGGATCCAAAACACTATGATTAGTGGAAAAAATTAGTTGAAAGGTGTTGTGGGCCACCGGTGGTCCACACAGTCTGTTGTCGGCCACCGGTGGTCCACACAGTCGTCGATGAGTTGAACCATCAAGGTCTAAACACGGTATTGTATCTGACAGTGAAATCTGCTTTATCGTCGTGTTTCTAATATATTCGCTGTATGTGTCGAGAAAACTGTAGTTCACTCAACCCAAGAAAATTTCAGCGACACTTTCAATAGACCCTAATGGAAAAGTCGGAAATGTCGTTTCCTTGCGAAAAGGGGGTGGGATGTTTGAATTCACAATGTTGCAAACGTGACTCCTGTGCAACTGGCAAATTCTCATACGTATGTACGTTTCGAAGTGGAAAAATCTACGCCTTAGCATTGATTTTGCCGAGCTTTTCGCTCGGAAAAGTAAGTCAGCATTTCACATAAAGCCAATGCCCGTATTGCCGCCGAAAAGCACTGCACACATTACCGCAGCTGAGCACAGCTGAGTATTACCAGTTCTTTGCCCGGCATCAAGCTTTATCCAAACCCAACCCCCCCCCCCCCCTCCGTACTCAAAGAAGCTTTTACGATTTGCACGGATTTCCAAGTTGTAAATCCACTTTATTGCGATTATTGCAGCGCACTATCTTACAACGTCGTTCAGTGCAGCACTGCAAACAATCGTCAATCATTAGAAACATCAGGTAGTTAATCTCGTACAACATATGCACATCAGCTTCCCGGCACTTTCTTTGTGTTCTGAGCTAGTTGTAATGGGATCAGCGGAAAGAACAAAGGAATTTCACATGAGTAATTGGCCCAGTTTATTTTCCTATGATTAGATAAGTACTGTCATTTTGTCGGATTCTATTTTAAACGGCTCATTTAACTTCCTGTCCATTTTACCCACTGATTGTCCGGGGCTTAGTCATACGCCATCTGTTCTAGAAAGATGACAACAAACACCGCAAAACTGACAGCAGTGAGTTTGAAAAAATGGTCTTTACCTAGAGCTTATGATTCATAGGGAAACTGATCGCAGTATTCCGTTCACATGCATTAAACCTACACCCACCCCCATCAACCATATGTTGCTCGTTCAATGGACAAAATCCATTGTTAGTCTGACAATGAGTAAAGTTGTCCCCACCTCCGCTTGCGAAATACACCTGCAATCCGAAAAATACATATGCTAGCCTCTACCTCTTTCTTATTTCATTGCACATTCTCTGAATTTACTAGTCACTAGTTCTTTTCCTTTGTAGCGTGATATATAAGCTATTTCGTGAGTGCATTCTGGTAATTCATGGCTGCAAATAGTGCCCATGTCTATTTCCCTCCAGAAATACATGTAGCTTTCACCAGCCTCTACACTATAAAAGCCCACGAAATGAAGTTCGTGGATATGAGAAAAGTTATGCTCTCACCCGAACTAGACTTCTCAAACGTAAATGGAATGCAGTGTGGAGGTCGCGGCGAGTAAATCGACATCTCCCCGTAATCTTGTTCAAAGTCTTTCTGACTCATGCATTTCCATGACGACGTTATTGTTTCCAGAGAGCTTCTTGAAAAAGAAATTATAGGTATAGACATCTGGGCAAGTCGACTGGTACTAGCGAAGTTTATCTCACTGCAACTGCAATTTGTATTTGTTATTTTCTTTGCATGGAGGGAATTTTGCGCATATAGCAGGCCGCTCGCTTTGCCGTAGACCGAGCACGGTGTGAGCTTTACGAAGCCACTTGACGCTTGCGGCGATTTGTAACCGGATATGACCTGGCGGTAAGGTGTGAATTAAGGGGGGGGGGGGACGGGAGGACGAGATCTGATACGCGCCCGATTATGTCTTATTAGAAACATATCGGCTGTCCGCTCGACCTTTCACACCTTGAACTTGAATGTCTGGCCTGGGCCTGTGCGTGTGCGTCTGTCTTTCTGTGTGCTTCTATCGATCTCGCCTTTTACAACATAAATCCATCCGAAATACTCATCGTCAAACAATGCACGCTTTTTCTTAGTTGCTTTTTCTGGATGGAGAAGTATTGCATTACAGCAGCTACTCTGAAGATTTTTCGCTGCTGTCTGTGGCGCCTGAGAACTTCGAGAGTCTCCAGGAGCGTCCACATATGCTTCTCATATTACCCTACATAGTTTATCAGTAATTCCTGTTTTCTCAGTTCCACATGTTTTTCCAGTTCTAAGAGGCCATTCCTGAGAAATGTCTTCCATTAGTAATGCCAACAAAACGCTGGGTTCTTCCTTATGTTGCCCTTACCAGCAGATTTTCAACTCTCTTCCCTTTCCCCGGAAACGACGAGACCTTATATCTTACGCTGAAGATCAGGATGCTAATAGGTTTTTCTTCGTACTACTATCAATTACTTTCCTTAGCCTGGCGTCATATTTTCTCTCCGATGTGTACTTTTTCGACAACGAGCTTACCTGAACTGCTCGTATTTCTTTCTGTTGATAGGGCGTGAATGTATACAAGTACAATTTCTTGGAAAGGCAATGACACGTGGATCACCTTCTTTGGCAGAAACGAGGTTTTACTACCACTGTCTTTTTGCGACCTAACAACCGTGTGATGGTGTTTCTTTTCCGCAGATACGTCTGCGATCTACATTTACGCCCTTTCTCAGGAGATTACTTTCGTGTCTCTTGCAGGTTTCCTTATTCTCTGCTATCTCTCGATTGCTCTTTTTCTCAGACTTGAAGGTTTTTGCAAACTTGAATCCGTAGTCAAAGCGAATTTCTTTTTTCCCCTTTAGATATTCGTACGCTCTTCTGCATTGTGTGCTCTGCCTCATGCCTTTCTCGGCAATAGAGACCGTCTATTTGAGAAACAGGGCGTGGTTTGGGTATTAGGTTCATTATTATGGAGTATGTTCGTGTGTTCGATTTCATATGTTTGCGCATTTCGCCAGTTATTCAGGTCAGGTGCGAAACCACAATCGCAGTTGACCCGTTCCTGAAACAACACAGTATTTTTCCTTTCGATACATTCGTTAACACCATCTCGTGCTGTGAAGAAAAACATGTCGCAGTTTCTCAAAAGACGCGCGTTAATGGAATTAACGATGCTAATGTTGGTCGGATTTTCGAACAGTACTTGTGAATATATTGCAACGTACTTTTTAGTATCTATGCAACAACTCAGAGTTTTACTTCGAAGGTCGACACAAATGACAGCGATATGTCATCTGTCTCTCTATAGCCAAATGCAAAACATTTGCTCTTGAACTTATAACGGTTCTCAACTATGGCGCAACGTTTGACCATGTCATTAATCTTTTGATTTCTCTTTTCGTGACGAATAGTCCTACAGTAGTTCACACACTATTTGTTGCAGCTACCGTTGACTGTCAACAGCTGTGTGTAGGTAAGTTGTTGTTTGCTCACATTTCATTTCGAATGGCATGAATTGAAACGACATCTTCTTGCCTTTATCTCGATCATAGGAAATGCTTTGGTTACTACCTTTTTTCTGGCGCTTCTTGATGCATGCATTCTTGAATTATTGCAGTCATTTGGGCGTCGGCTATGATCTTATGTCTTCTCTCGTGCCCTTAATTTCGTGCGTTTCTTCCTTTCTCATTGATGAATCTTCCCGCAAAAATCGTAAATCTCAATAGTACTGATGTCGTCGTGAGCAGTAGATGACAATATGCGAAAATATACGAGTGATGTCAAAGCGAACGGCATCGATTCATCTGAACTGGATCCTTGCTTAGCTGCTCGTAGCCGTCAGAAGAAGACTTTCTTAGCAAAATGGTACATTATTCGTCTTATTTTCAAGCTATTATACATCCAGCTGTGAAATTCTCCCAGACTTCTTTTTAGGAAGAAATGGATCATAATTGCTGCAGTTTTGTTCGTGGTGCTATTGTTAATTACACTTGGCTTCCTGCTGTTCTTTTTGCTTTCTCCAAGCGAAGCCAAACCAACAATGGATTATGTTCACCAGGAGCTCAAAAGTCCTCAGATTGATTATGACGCTGAGGTAATGCATTTTTCAGCTTTCCCTTTCTTTTTCTTTGGACTTTGTCGCAGCAGCTTTTCGCTGTGAAGAGATTTGCTTTTAACAGCCCTTTGAGTTTACTCTCAACTTAGGGATTTTCAGTTCCTTTGCTCTCTCTGTTCCTAAGTGATCGAATAAAAGTACAGTATATGCTTTCTAGCCTGATATGATAATAAGCCATAACTACTATACACATCTACACTTAGGACGTGGAAACAGCGGGGGCAGGTTCTCGCTCGTTGCCCTACAGTCATCTCAAAAGTAGTCATGAAATGTATGTCGAACACGAACTTACGGATGATTCGCCACCAAGGTGTGGAGACTATTTAAGATGGGTGGTTGCTGCATAATTTTCCTCCTGTTTTAGGACCAGTGAGGAACTTCTGGTTGAGCGCAACCCTGTAATGATAGCAGTGACCACTACTACAACATCTACCACGAGTGAAGTGCAAACTGCTGTAACGGATCTCAGTACACAATCTCAAAGTCCTCTAACATCTACAACCATAAAGTCTACCACATCTACGACCACATCAACCACCACTACAACATCAACAACGGAGCCTTCATCTGTCGCACAAGAAGAAGAGCCAAAACCTTCCGTTCATGAGGTTAGTCAACTTCAGTGGTTTGAACTTGAGATGGTGGTCCGTAGATGTGTTGGACCTTTTTTATTTCGTAACGGATACGCGATAATCACTTCTGATATGCACATCTATGTGTTGCTATTTATCTCTCGGTGGTTTCTTTTTACTTAACGTTACTATCCCAGACATTCTTTCTAGGAACCATCTGATCCGAAAAAGTTGACGGCCTTGATGTCGAACGAGGTGAAAAAGGTACGATATTAGCGCCTTGTCTAGCACATGACATTATCCTTCATGCGAGCTTTGTTTTAGGATTGTTCTGTACACATTGAAGCTGGAGGAGAGTCAGGTCTTTACATGGTTTCACCCGATGGCGCTGACGCGTTCACCGTTTATTGCGATCAGAGAACGGCTGGAGGAGGGTGGACTGTCATTCAAAGGTACGGAAATGAGAGGAACTATTTGCTTACATGATCACAGCTACTCTAATTACACATTTACTGATAGGTAGACCTCTTTCCATCTTATGATTTTTACTTATCCAGGCGATTTTCTTACTGATTGCTTCATTTCATTTTCTGGGGTGCATTTGTGCCTGCACTCAAAATTTGTGCAAGATTGATTGCCGCGTAATTGTTGGAGCAATTGTCGTGTTTCTTAATCTACAAGTGTAGCGAATCTTGTAGATGCCCAAAACATTAGCAATGGTCTCGCACTTTCAGTGTTTTCCATTCAGTCTTTGCACTATCGAAAACCAGCTTCGCAGCCTGGATCCTTAAAAAACTGTAAAAAAATTCTTAGATTGATTGGGTGCATGTTTCAAATTATTGTTGGGTAGAAGATTAGAAGCATATTTCATGTTACTATTAGAAGGGAATTAGTGTATTTCACAAGCGATTGCTGAACGACAGTATATAATGCGACACTTTTTTCACTCTTTTGAACCTAGGCAAGAAACTATTCCATTCCAGTGCTTTTAACAGTATTTTTGCGAGTTGCGGAAGTAATCTATTCTGGAAAATGCATTGAGTGTAATTATCGCAATCCGACCTTCAAAGTACTAAACCGGTTGTATAGAATCCTAGGTGTATTTGGATATTGACTGCTTTTTAAGTTGAGGGATCGTGAAGTGTACAAAGTTTTACCACCTCTCTGATCGTTCTTTTGTCAATATATGTAAACGGCTTTTTTTCTATAGTGATGACTAATCCAACGTTAATCTCATTGCATGGAAATGTGTTCTCATGATCGCATGGGTAATCGTTTTCTGAATTAAGGCGGCTTGATAGCTCCGTCTACTTCTACAATAGAACCTGGCAGGAGTATGAAGATGGTTTTGGAAACGTTGACGGTATAGTAAATCAGTATTCATTAACATAATCGTATTGAATTCGTCTCATATTAATCCTAGGATCTCATTGGCTCGGTTTACAAAAAATCTACCGTCTGTCACCAAGGCAGGGAGAGTATTGGGTTTTGCGCATCGAGCTGCGTGGTGATTATTGTTCTGGCAAAAGCTGTCTCAATCAGGAAAATGGCTACTGGTGGGCTGAATGGCCTTTCAGGGTGGGTGAAGGAGCGCATTTTTCTGTCATGTAAATTTGATGTACTGATTTAGTTGGGTGAACCTTCATCAGGATATGTGCTAGATCTGGGTCGAGCGAAAGCTGGTAATCTCACCGATACTGACCGTCTTTTTGAGAAGTTCAATAGCGGACGTGCTTTCACTGCAATCGATAGAGACAATGATGGTGTTAGCGGCTTAAACTGTGCACAATTTCGAAATTACGGGTATGCTAGTCTAACTAACCAAAGTAAAGGAAGCACAAGATTCACGTTCGCAATAACTATGATTTATTACAGGGGCTGGTGGCACGGTGACTGCGGCTATGTTGCGCTAAATGGGCTGTACGGCGATAAAGTGCCAACCCTTCGTTACATGGTGTACACTTACAGCAACGCCCGGCATAGAAAATTCTACATTCATCCAAAGAAATCTCTCATGATGATAAGACCCGATTCTGTGCATTAATATTCTTCTAGTTATGTGACCCCAGTGTACGAGTTGTTCCCATGGAAATGGTTTTGCTTCTTTTTTTTTCTAATTAGTTTCGTCATTGTAACGTCTTTCGCTGAAACGAGTATTTCAATATCATACATAGTATGGCTAGAGTTTATAAATACTTAGTGGACAAGATGTCCACTGAAGCATGTTTCCATCATAATTGGATCTGTACGATGCAAACCCATTTTAGAAAGATTGCATCTATTGTTTGATGTTGTTTTTTTTCTTTTGTGTTAACTTATGTGCTTTGCTTGCTTATTTGTGAAGTGGCATGCTACAGCAATTCTTAAAGAGATTGAATACTTGATATCATGAATTTTGATGACACTTTGGTTAGTCATACACCTTAAACTTAATATGATTAAAAAACCATATTCACATATGTCTGTATTGCAAAGCTAAGGCAGTTTCGGCTGCATAAGTAGTGATGTGCATGTTCATAATGTTCTGACTGCCATGCTATTACATCTCAGTGTTTTTCCTCTTTGCCCTTTTGCAGCGCTTATTGGTAGAGGTAGGTTCAAATTATGTTACAGATTTCACTGGTATTCACCTCAGTGTAAGATTTAGCAACTGGTAAAAACTTAGAAAACAGTCAACATATAAGGTCTACTGCTGGATGAAGGCGCTCTTTCCATCAAAGCAGGCGGCGCTCTGGAGTCGGAAGAACCGCGTTCGCACCCGCTTCGCTTACAGGGAAGTGACCTTCGCCCGGCAATGGACAATGTATGCAATCACACAGGATCACAGCTGAACGCATTTTTTTCAAAGTTACCTGGGTAATACTTGCAGTAAGCAATCTATTCATTCCATGTGTACTGCAGTACTTTTTTTCATCAGGAGCAAACCGCTTTAAGTATCAGTAGGTAAAATGCCGTTTCAGTGCGGATGTACCAGTCAATCGACATTAAGGGGCAAAACGGTATCTTTTTAAGTGTTATGAAGACTGTGATGATTATCAAGCCCGTCGTTGTGGCAGATTACGTAATGACGAGGCAATGAGTAATGGACTTAGAAATTTATCCCAGAGGAACGGCCGTAATAGGATATGGGAATGAGCAGAATCAGATCTCAAAGTAAGTGTTAATTTGATTCATGGCTACCTATCCTTGCACACGGTACCCGAAAGACCGGACTTTTGATATCTTAGGCCCCGGGCAGACTTCACGCGATTTGATCGCCGCGATCTAATCGCCTAGATTTCCATTCATTTTCATTTTACATTCAAGAATTTCGGGCTGGAAAAGTATCACAACCGAAATGCAAGTTGATCGGCATGGAATGATGTTGTAACAGTTGTCTTGTCGCGATTCAGTCGCGACGATTAAATCGCGTGAAGTCTGTCCAGGGCCTTAATCAGATTGCGCATCTACGAGATAATAGAAAGACTTGCTCTTTTGAAATGCAAGCATTTATGTATGCATTTTTCTACCTATAAGGTATGCATATCAAACACTAAGTGAACTAGATACTGTTAATTTGAGGTCACCTACCTTGAAGAAAATCGAAATATGGTTGATAGCGAAATAAAAAACTAAAGGTAACTTTTATTTGAAAAGGTCCAGATTTCGTTATATTAGGTCGTCCCGAAAGTTTTGTCGGTTTTTTCAGACCACTACAAGACCACGCACAATGAAGATCTGAATGAGCTTTAGCACGATTCGATGCAGCTTTTCCTTCTCTTTCGTGTGGTTACATTTTCGAACCACAATCCTGTATGCTTTCTTTGATAACTGCTGAAATTCTTCACCCATCATTTTTGTCTGTTCAAAATTCGGCTAATTTTTGAAAGTTTCATTTCAAAGTTTCGGAAAGGGTTAGGTAAGGGTTGAATAGAGCAATTCTCGGACTACAAAATGATACTTTCAAATTCCACTAATCTGCTGATTTTTGCTTCAAAAAATTATTTCTTTGAAGGTCTCGATTTTTGGCAAAGTCATGAAACACGCAACTGGTGCAAAAACATGAAAACTTCTGAAGTTTCTGCGAATTGCAACATGATTCTTATTGCACACTATTTATGCAACATTACCCAGTTTGACTTGCTTCAAAAAAGCAGCTTTTTGGAATTTTTGGTACTTTTACATGGCAAACGTAATCAAAAAGCCGCGGTTTTTATTAAATAAATAATTATAACGGACTTGATAAACGTGACTCACGTAATCTAAAATGGTTACAATGTAGCCAAAGCTTTGCTGTACATAAAAGTTACCAGCGCTCCTTAGAAATATCAGGACAGAAATTTTTAAAATTCAAGAAAGGTTTGGCGTTACTGTTGAGCTGCTCAAAAACCCATGGCGATAAAGACAGGGTAGGTCAGAGAGCAAATATAGCTGTAAGAAAGAGGATGAAAATTTAAATCAAATGGTACCTAGAACGTTTATGGACTGATGTTCTGTGAGTTTTAGTGAGCGATGAAAGAAACCGACAAAACTTTCGGGACAACCTAATAGTTTTTTTTTTGAGGTCAGAAATAACAAAAAGCAAGGAATTTTAGACGGAAGAGTGCAGGTCTGAAAGTGATGTATGAAAAGCGATGTAAGCGCCACTTCAGCAGCATCACAGTTCAATAGAAAACTAAGGAAAAGAATTTGAATTTCTTGTAGGTATCTATTTGAACCAGAAAATGGGACGTGTTCGTTATGCCATGACGACCGCTGAAATCGCATAACTTCGAATAAGCTAACCCAGGCTATGATTCACATTTTTTCTTGAAAAATAAAGCTTGGTTTTTTGATGAGCAACAAAAAAAAAGGCTTGTACTAAAATGCATTATATGCAATATCACTTCATAAACTTTCTATTGTCGACAGAAGTCCAAGATTTTGCAGTGCTCAGAAGAAAAATGAACGATGCATGTGTAAAGTATAGAAATTTAGTATAGGTGCTTCCCAGGAAAAAAAGCCACGCATTTCTCGTTCCAGTAGCAATTTTTATCCGAGAAAAGTTGACCACGAAATACCAGGGCATGTTCACGAAAAAGAAAAGATGCTAGAATATGATCGTGAAGGTGTGGATTAGATCTAAAACTACGCAGATGCCTGAGTTGTTAAAATTTGCAATGTCAAAACCAAAGGATCATGCCCCCATATCAATTAGCATTTGGTGAAGAATTTTGTCGCTAAATAGATCACAAGAGATAAATTCTTAAGGCGTTCTTATATTTTTACGATAAATATGGGCTAAGACTATGAAAATGAAGTTTTATTTTTTATTAGGATATAATTTTGACTATGAAGGAAGCCCTTTATTTGGGCTCGTTGTGGGCTACTTTCTCGAAACTTTGATCACAAGAGAAGTCGAAAAGAACTGATTGCGTTGATACATCTATAAGGCTGGTATCATTGAAATATCCTACTACTGTTGCTAATTTTTCAGCAATTCTTCAAAGAGTGTTGAAGCTGTTCTTCCTGTTCACGACATTCACATTTTCGTGTTTTGAAAAAAAAAACAAAGCGAACAAAGAGTTGTCAGGTTCACTGGTTTTGGAAGCAGAGGTCGTGATTGCTTATCTCTTGCAAACAACATATTACGAGGGAAAGTAGTTGGAGTATCGGAAAAGAGAAATGTGGGTGGGTTGAATAGCAAATTTTTGGCAAATGTCCGTTTTTCAACTTCCAGATTACGCAGTCGAACGATCCTTGAAAACTGATATCCTCAGAAGAAGTATGTAGAACTCTTTTGTTTTATCGCATACTTTTACTACTATATTGAATAATTACGTATTTTTTTTGAGGTAGCAATGTGCGGTCATATGTATCACTGCGCAGAAATCAACTATTCTATAGAATGTGAGTATCGCAATTCACACTGAACACAAAGCAGAGAGCGCAGCGCGCTTATTTGCTTGTTTGTTTATATGCGTTTAGATGTATGTACCAAAAAAAGTCGAACTATTGCAAAGGGGCAAGTGTCGCGATCATACTAAGTGTAAAGAATAGTCACTGCCATGATTTATCGTTTGCACTATTTGCCCTGAGAAAAGTCTGTATACAATATTGTATCGAGAGACATGTAAAGAAGTAGGCGGCGGGGTACGCTAGGTATCTCGAGGTAATTTCATTTGGAAGAGAATCACGTAGCTGCTGCCTAATCTTTTGTCCACTTTTGTTTGCTAATATTCTGCTAGCTGTAAGTAGCAGAATAGTAGAGCAGCGAACTTAAATCGTATATTTTCAGGGATGGCGAAATATCTGCCAAATATTGCTGTGACAAGCCCTCAATCAGTAAGTGTTTTGATTTTCACATATTCCTGATTTCATATTTTTGTAAAGAAAGATAGTATCTTTTCCTTTTTCTCGTAGGGCAACATAGCATCGTGCAACACTAGTCCATCTTAATACCCCTTGTACCTTTGCAAATTTATTTTATAACAATTTTTTTGAAGAAAGGGCTGTTTGCGCAATGCTTAAATGACTGCAATATCTAAACATCATTTTAGTTGATGGGATGTGTGCAAAAGAAACATCTAATGGGCTATCAACGACAAATCACCCACTGCTGAATTTTCTGTGAAGGCTATCCGATAATGCTGATTTGATAGTGATTTTGTTGTAATGAAATCAGAGTTTATCACATCTAGTCCTGCATAAAGGCTAGGAAATCTCCAGTGTGTCAACTTTTTTTTATCAACCCTTTTTTGCCGTGTCCAGAGATCATACTCATCTCGGAAAGTTTTTTGGAGATAAAAAAGGGGAGGATGTTCCAAATACTAATGCTTAAAAGCTGAGTGCAGCATATTGTTTCTAGGACCATTGCTATTTTTGAGGATCGTAACTTTCTCCCGTAAGAGGAAAACAACGGGCAGATTTTGAAAACTCAACAAGCCTACTTTGCTGAGAAATCTAGCAACTATGAAAAACACCTTTCACCACGTGCTTCTTCGTTCTTTAACTGTGTGCGAGGTGAGTAGGAGCTGGCAACTTATACATTTTGAATATGAAATCTTTAACTGTACAATCGTTTTTGACCCATAATATTTGTAATAGACTTAGAACGCTTACTGTGCAAGCTAAATTAGGAACCAGCCTAGTACCAATTCTTGCACGACTTTTTCCATATTTCAACCCCTCCAAGCTATTAGCGGGTGTAGACTCTTCGAGGGGTTTTGCCTCGGTATGCAATGTAAAACTGTGAAGTAAACAACAAGAATGGTGGTTCAGTGGTTTATTGGGATTACTGTAACCGAGAGCGTGAGATTGTGACCTTGGGTGGTCAACGTGTGATCAAGAGTGAGGTGAGACCTCCCAGGTGGACGCATGGCAGACATGGCCCGCCCACTCGGCTATGACGTCATTTGGCACGGGTATCAGGAATCATCGATTGGTCGATGATACTCCGGCCAGACAAGGGGATACATACATATGGATAATGATAATAGTTAAATACATGACTAGGTGTTCACAACTGCATCTACAAGTAGCATGATGATAATCGGCTTGTTGTGGTTGGTTGTGGCGTTGAGTGAGTTGTGCGGCTAGTCGTTGAGGGTGAACCATTGGATTGATGACGAAAAGAGGCTGGTAGTAGTAGAAGTAGACGGTGACGGTAGTAGCAGTTGTTGAGGTGCAGCTTGTTGAAGACGACGGCGATTGTAGACGAATTGTTTGACAAATTGGCGATTTGAAGAATCCAGGCGAGAAAGAAGTGCTACAGGAACCTATCAGCTGATTATGACCGAAATCATAAGGCTGATAGGCACTGTAGCGCTCCAAATGTATCGTGTGGTTAGTGGGCTTTACAGTAGCCTAAGGCGAATAGCGCCTTTTGTGTGTTATGTAGAACACATAAGCTGTAGGTAGCTTTATTGAGACAGACGACGTGCGCTCATGGGCGCAGTGGTAGAGTGCTAACGATAATAGGCGTGGTAGAGTAACATAACAAACTATCACAGCAGGTCATGCTTATGGCATGACCTGTGAGGTACTCCGATAACAGTAGAGATACGGTTGTTAGAAAGTGCCGACAGTCGGCACACTCCGGCCAGCGGGGGGAGAGCAACGAAATGAATTAGAAGTACAACATATATCTGTGCGATAGAAAGGGGGTCGGTTGTACCGGCACACTCCGCCCGGCAAGAGGAATGGACAAATAAATTGAAAAGTGATAGCAGAATTAGTAATGCAACAACATTTAACCATAAGGCGGTGCCTTTGTCTGGGTCTCGCAATGGTCGTCGTTGCACCGGAACGCGACTGAACACAGGGATCCTTCTTGTGTAGCGGCTGCCAAAAAGTGAAGTAGATATATCTAAACTATAGTGCAGGCCAATGGAAAGTGTTATTAAACTGATCTTCACTGGCACTGGTACTGGATGAAGTTCATAAATTCCTCTCTTCTCATTGTTCTTATATGATCGTAACTTCTGAAGTTGGCGTTCTTCACTGATATTATTGCATGCCTTTGCCAGAGGCGATCCTGGTAGTGTGACCTGTGCAAAGGTCAGGCTCTCATCTGCAATAGCTGGTAGTACATCAGCATCTTCAGCCTCGAACTCGCGATATCCATCATTTTCACTAATCTTCTCGTCATTGTTATGTTCGTCTGGCTTATCGTTTGCAGTGTGACTTGCTTTTTCTTCAGCGTATGGAAATCCGGCATGCAGTATGTGTCTGTGTAGAACCTTCCTAATGCTACTTTGATTTGTTGCAAATCTTCTTCTACTTCCTATTGCGGCCAGTTCTATCTCAATATCTGTAGCGAGCATTTCTAGCTCAAACGTAAACATCTGAGCATTGCCGGCTATTTGGAAAAATCTTATCTGTTCTTGGAGCGCGTCCATTTCCTTTGCCATGGCTTGTCTCATCATTTCGGAGCTTTCCTTGTAGTGCTTCCTCATGACGTCAACTTTTGATTCCAGCTGGTTTTTGCCGGTTTTGATTTCCATGATGCATATTGGTAGTAGGTCCAGATGGTGTAGGCAGAACTCCTGTCGTTCTTGTTCGTCATCTGGAAGAGTAATTTTCTCACCATAGTGCTGGTATTTCTGCAGTATGTCCGCGAGATTCTTGGTGTACGTCTTCAGGTCCTTTATGATGAGATGAAGAGTCGCATCACTTTCTTGTGGCTTCCGCTGTCCTCCTTGGAAGCGGGGCATGATATCGGTCGTGTTTGGCCGATGCACCAAATGTATCGTGTGGTTAGTGGGCTTTACAGTAGCCTAAGGCGAATAGCGCCTTTTGTGTGTTATGTAGAACACATAAGCTGTAGGTAGCTTTATTGAGACAGACGACGTGCGCTCATGGGCGCAGTGGTAGAGTGCTAACGATAATAGGCGTGGTAGAGTAACATAACAAACTATCACAGCAGGTCATGCTTATGGCATGACCTGTGAGGTACTCCGGTAACAGTAGAGATACGGTTGTTAGAAAGTGCCGACAGTCGGCACACCCTCAAGCCTCTTAATAGTTTTGGAATCGAGCCTAACTTGGACACCATAGCAAGTTTATGGTATTGTTAGGTGAATATGGAAAGTGAACATGTGCAGAGATTACATGAACAAAACACAGAGCAAGCACTCAGGCGAATAAAATTCGATATGCAAATAGTTAGAAGGATAATCCTGACTACTTTCACCTACTGACTCGCCCTTGCTATCAATAGAACAGAGAAAAACACGACACTTTTAGCGCTAGACCACAATTTGGAGAGGTGCACAAGAGTTTCGATACGCAATACCTTATCTATGATATAATTTGAAGAAAAAAAATCTGTTGCAGTTCAGATAGCTTAGCAGCTTTTCATCTCAACCGATTTTTAGGATTATCGGGAGAAAAGGAAAACGCTCAATTGTATTTCAAGCCACACGAAGAAAAGTACTGATACTTGGATACTTCTAATTTTGATTAATCAAAAAAGAACAATAATATTAGGTTGGAAAGAAAAGATGTCGTTTTTTACAGCAGAGCAACAGAACGAATCGCGCAAAAATATGTGAAAGGTATCATTCAATAGAGCAAAGCAAGCGCTTCATGACTACACATGAACATTTGCTTAAGTCATGGATTGCCCATAGTTTAAAGCCAAAACATAAGAGTCATGCTGCCAAAAAACAAATTTTCGCTTTAAAAAATCCCACAATCTTCTCACTTGCCCAGCATGTAGCAGACATATGCATTATCCACTTGTGCATTTGCCATATTTTTTTCGCGATTGCAAATCAGGAAGTCGTTGAAAAACAAAATTGGCAAACTTCGCCCCTAGTAGTCCTGGGCTCCGCCCAGATATGTAGTTGTGTACTACAAACCTTCGAGACTTCACACATGGAATTCAGGCTTCAATATGCTCTGATTCCTGAGAAATACATTTTAGCTGAAAAAACCCGAAAAAGCGACATTCTTTTCTTTCCAAACTAATACAAATCGCTGCAATATATGATGAAAAACTCTTTCTCAAGCCGCAGGTATAATGAGATCTCATAACAATTTAGCTTCTGTCGTGTTCCATTACTGCTTAAATCCATTAATCCTGGTCACCCATTACAATCAGATTATCCTCTGTAGTTTTATAGAAAGTTATATAAAACAACTTTTTGAGTAAAATCGAGAAAATCTGTGAGAAAAAATTGTTTCTTCACAAGTTACCATTCCAAAAGCTGCTAATTTCTTGCTCATAGTAGAGCGCACTACATCTGCTGTTCAGGAAAAAGAAAGCCCTAGAGGCCGAATAAGAATAAGAAAATGTATTGGGTTCAGCAGGAAATGCAACAGTGTGTGCCAAGCTACATAGTACACAGCTTCAATAGTCATGGCAGAAGAAATCCTCGCACCTTATGAAAGCTTGAAAAAAACGCACCTGCCAAGGTTTTTTTTCGTCCATAAGAAATGTTCGCGACAGAAAACTTTTACGTAATTGCGTACTCGTTTCCTAAGATTTCTATCATATCTGGACTGAAAAGTATACACACACTCGATATTTTTGGAAAACCAAAAACCGAGCACAGAAGCCATGTCATTTCGACATTTTTCTTTTACAAATCCAAGTACTTTAGAACAAAACACATAATTTTATGCATATGTTAGTATCCAGTAGATACATCAGCAAATGTACAATGCATGTTGAAATCTCCAAAGCAATAACAGTTATGCAAAATTCTTAACGCACTGAATTTCAAAGCATATTCCTAATACTAAAAACTCAAAGCTTTGTTAGTAACTAGTAATTTAGAGCATGTGGGCATTGCTCACAAATCCAAATTTTCTTCAATATGACACAAATATTTATCTGATTAGTAAGCCGTAGTAATTGACCGGAGAAACTCAAGCGCTTCTTTGTCTTCTTTTCTGCTGCTAAGAACTTCTAGTATTTCCTTATCTGAAAAGCAGAGGTAAAAATTGAAAATTGAGAAGCCAGATGCAACATAACATACTATTCTGCTGTGGTTGAATTAGTATCAAATTGAATTGGCGAAGCGTGTTTCCGCCGGCTAGCCCAAAGCCAGGAACCTGTAAGGAAACATTATGCTTATTACAATATGAACAAAAAAATATAAACACACATCAGCCAGTTCCAGAAATGCTTCTCCTGCAAAATCGTTTGATCGCAAATAATCATGGTCCATCACTGTGAAATGTAGCATAGCGCACGGCGGAAGCTTCGGTGGTATATGGCTGAAGCAGTTTTTCTCCTTCACACATTACTACATTTTATGAAAAACTTACAATTCAAATGTCTCGTCGAAAATAGGGTTGAGCGTTTTGCTTACCACTCGCGTCTTGCTTACAGTTTGATTGGGATATCGATATTTCGGTACAAGCCGAATCACTACGAATGGATCTGAGAGCCCATTCGCGTCTAGTGGTATCACTTGCTTCGCTCCAATTACTGTAACAATAGGACATCTATTTGATCTGAAGTATAGTCTGATCTCAGACGAAGGCGGATGTCCAAGCGAAGCACACGCAGGCGTGGCGAACGGGCAAACATGGTCTCGAGTTTCAGCACTCGACGCGCTCCAGCGGCAAAAAGTGCTCAAGTGCTGGATTTGCATCCGCTTTGCGGTGATAATTCATCGCCTTCGTCCAAAATCAAAAAAAATCACAAGTTAGGAACTTACCATCCAGAACAAGCGTCTGAGAGCTTGTATTGTAGTACGCCCGCACATTCAGTATACCGTATTTGCATTCGCTTACTTCGTTCTGAAATGAAGACATAAGAAATTGCAGAAGAAGAACAGTCTAATTGTAAATTGCACTACGGTAACAACTCGCTTGCTATTCTCGCGAACTTTTGCAACAATTTGCAATTTCAAACGTCTAATTAGCAGAACGAACGTGCATTCAACTACTGTAATCGTAGCTAATGCAATGGTCACTAAGCACGTTTCGAAAATTTTGGAGGGGTTATGAAGTTAGAAGACATGAACATCATTTTCTCATGCTACGAGTAGAGGGAAATCGATGCAGCAAGGGGTTTTTTCAAGCAGAGCACTAAACATTCAAGGACAAAGGGGCAGTTATTTCTTATTGCAGACAGTTTTTATGAGACAAACTACATAGCTCTGAGCGGCCACTGTCCAATTCCATTTTTACTTACATATATTGAGCGTAAATTAATCGCACTGAAGCTTGCACCTGCTCCTGGATCATGTAAGTTCGAGCAACGTAAGTCATGTAATACATAATCGAATTGCTCGAACTTTCTTCAGTCAACATATGTAACCTGAGAACTCGTAAAAATTCCACCTAGGACTTGCAGAACTTTTTGAGCAAATGCGGCTCAAAAACCAGATAAAAAAATGATTTTCAAAGATATTAAGCCCTGACTCCTTCAGTTTTCGACGGCTGGGCCACCTGAGTACTGCGCCGGATTTCGAACTTCTTCCAGCTAAAGTCTTTCTTTGTACTTCTGCGCAAAAATATTGTTCTGTAAAAAAATGATTTGGCTTTTATCGAATTTTCTGTTAGTCAACAATCGCTAAGAAGGAGACGGCTCATTATCCAAAAAGCTAGCAAAGAGGCCTTCCTATAGGCGTAGCGAATTTTGGAAAGTAGTACATGAATCATAAAATCGTGCTCATGAGCTTGTTATCAAGTATGACGATTTTCTGAAACTTATCAAAATATAAATTGGTTTGTAAGAAAAATCACGGTGACGTAGAGTTGTCCCCCTCCCCCCGATATTTTCTTGATAATTTCATCTTTACCAAAACGAACATCTGATTAGTTATTATATAGGGTGTAAGTGCAAAACGATAACGGAGAATTCAACGCGCGAAATGTATGTCGTGTGCAATCGCACATATCAGTTCACGAACTGACTCAACTGTAGATGGATTGAATAGCGACCAGAGTGTCTGAATCTCTGCAGTCTTGATCACTGCTCTTGATCAGATAAGTGTTGATTTTCTCACTCTTGAGTACTTTTCCTTAGGAAATGGGAACGTTTTCTGATTTTGAAGGACATATGTTGACTGTCGATCTAACAGGTAGAGGTGCACTACTGAATTCCAAAAACGTCTACTTAACAAGGCAGAACTTACGTTCGTGTTATGCTCTGCCATCGCCTAAATGACATGAAAAGCCGGTCATAGAAGCTTACTCCAATAACCTACTCACTTGTTGTTTGAGCAGATCCTTGTAATACTTCTCGATGAGCTGTTGCGTGGACGTTTGATTCAAGGACAAAATCTTTATTAGCGCCTGTAAACGAAGTTAAGATGGAAAAATTCAAAATTTTTGGGCCAGTTTAGTTCACCACAAATACTCACCATATGTTCCGGAGCAGTTTCCAAGACATCCGTTGAGAGACCTTTTCCACCAGCGTGAAAGAAGTCGACAAGAACATGCCAAGCTTCGAAGAGTCGGTGGTAAAATGCTGGCTCCATCTAAGAGAAACCTCTCAGGCTGCAAGAAAAAATGTATAAGTTTGGCGTACCCCTGGATTTTCATCAACGCATTCTCTCAAAAGTCGTACAACAATCCCAATTTGTGCTGACATAACCCGCAAAAAGTTCTTATGCAAAAGATTTTTGTGTACTGCAGACAATTCGATGTCGATCTGAAAATAACGAATTTTTCTTCGTAACCTAGTCGAGAATTCATACCATATCGGTCAAAGGTTTGAGTGAGTCTTCCACAGGATGTGCGGTTGGACTCCAAGCAAGATGAAACACATGCTTTTTCATCTGCGGTCGCAACCGAGCAGTTAGCAAGCCTACGACCCGGTCAATTTCTGCACAGATCGTTGCATCAGTCTGCTCTAACCGTTGCTCAACAGCTGCTTTCCATGTTGGTGAACCCTGCAAAAGACATACGGCTTTTATTGCCCACTTGATATAATGATATAATATAAAATACAGTGCTTGCTTGCGGTGCCCAAAGTTTGCTGTTAAATTTGTGCGTGAAAAAATAGCTACGCCTGAAATGCCGGCGGTCTGCGCGCGCAAGTACCCTGCGACGTAGCTATTTTTCCACTCGCAGATTTTGCAGCAAATTTTCGGCACAGAAAGCGCACTATATTGAGCCGAAAATACTAGTATATATACAGGGTGTCCCAAAAAAATGTGAACACTGTTTGATCGTTAATAACTCCCTTGCTTATATGTCTTTCGCCGAGCTTGAGGCATCATTCTATAGAGCGAGGTCTAACTTAGATCTGTAGTATAGAGCGAATCGCCAATCTCTCTTCATTACTGTAGGATTACGGTAAGAAAACCGTTGAAAGCCATATTCTGCCTCGGAACAAAACTAAACAAGCCAAAAACTTTTATACATGGGTAATGGAAGCCGCTGAGTTCAAATATGAAATTTCCACTTCACTGTGATGCTTCTTTCCAAGGTTATCCCAGGTAAACCTAAATGACCGAATTTCCAGCATTTGTCAAAAATGTAAATACACCTTCAAAAAAGCTAAAAACACTCGTAAAAAGTTGTGTTATGGAATCAGCGTGCGCAAAAACCCTAGTACACGATTTTTCAGATTTTTTGGAAAAAATTTTGTCAAATGGCATATTTCATAATAGATCCACATGCCAGAAGTTCATACCGTAATCCTACAGTAATGAAGAGCGATCGGTGATTCACTCCACACCACAAATCTAAGTTGAACCTCGCTCTACAGAATGGTGCCCCAAGCTCGGCGAAAGACATGAAAGCAACGGAGTTATTAAGGATCAAACAGTGTTCACATTTTTTTGGGACACCCTGTATATATGTTAATATGCTCAACACTAGCCAGACATAACTGACTTTTCCTGGCAAAAATATATTGAAGACGGCCGTTTCGCATTACAGTATCCAGCAATCCTGCATTACTTGCCTAAAAACGTCGCGCACGCGACAAATTTTTCTTCTCCCTTCTTTTTGCTTTGGCAATAGCCGCCGCAGAGTGTGTCGCGTGCGCCACGGGTCCTGTACGGAAGCACTCTAACAGTGTTACGGTAGTGGGAATCGGCTTACATCCCAGAAATGTCAAGCAAACTCACATGTCCAGCTCTTTCGTATGCTATGGCCAGATCATCCAGATGAAGCTTCTCATGAATCATTAAACTTCTCCTTACTTGTTCACAGTTATTTATTGCCGAACATAACTAAATAACATCGTAATTTACCCATAACATAAAAACATCTATCATTCAGCCTACCAATTGCAACAGGGGTGACGGGACGAAAACTTGAAGTTCACCAGAGAATCCTTCAGCGTCAAGATTTGCAAAAATCTAAAAAAGGCTTCAAAATGATTTGATTCGTGTGTAGCTGTAAGCAAGACCTTCTGAGTGTACGTTATCACTATGTCACAGAGTATATCCACAAGGGTTCTTGTATAATCAATTTTCAGAGTCAATTCGCTTACGTCCATCCGATCCCAGCATACGGTCATCTGAAATACAATTAGAAATCCAAGGTCAAACTGAAATTCCCCTTTTGATTTTCCTAAAACATCCAACACTCACTTGTTCGACTATATGGCACACATCAATATGGCTGCTTGAATGACGCATGTCATTAGAAGATGTGCATATCTAATAATACATATATTGAAAAAATGAATGTAATATACAGAAATAAAGCCTAAGGCTACAAACCGGCACATCCAACTGGCAGCTGAGCGAGATTCGATTAAGAGCTTTTTCCTTTGCCAATGTCAGGAAATTTTTTATACCCCGATTGAAGATCCCGTACCATTCCGATTCATCTTTGCCCCGACTGAAAAGGAAGTTGATTCACTAAGTTTCAAGTGGTTTTTATCAGTTTTTGTTGAGTTCGCTTACACTCGATTCGCTAGCCGATAATTTCGCAGCTCGACAAATGCCATATGTATCCGAATAAGGTCTATGAGATCATCTTCGTTTGGTGGGTCTTGATTTGCAGAGATTTTCATCTATAATGCGAAAAGATCAAGGTACTTCCTCATCGCATTGCAATTCTCACCTGCGACCGAAGATCCGTTTTTCTTTCACTCATCAGCTCCGAAGTGAGGTACTCGTTGAGCTATAAGATAAATCAAGTCAACTTAACCTTGAAACTCTATAAAATCTCACCATTCTATCCCAAGTGGACAGTGTCAGCTGACAGTAGTCAATCCGACCGACTTCTCGTATAATGTTCGCATAGTGTTGAAATCTCGAACAGCTTCCATTGATGATTGAGAGCAATTTGAGAAGTTCTTTACAAGGATCCTCATCTTGCACTGATTCTACGCTCTCGTCAAAGAAATCTTCAGCACTTTTCTGAAAGGAGGAATGTTCTCACTTCTGATCTTGTCAGATCTATACCAGTGTCCACGCAAGTCTGTGTAACTAGGTTCAAAGGGGCTTCAATTCTAGTCCCTTGCCCAATACCGTACTCCTTTCGAGCAAACTAGTAAGCTTTTTCAAGTACGGTAATCGGCGTCCTCAGAAAATCCCGATTGGAATTGCCACATTGATGGTGGCTCAATCAAGGCCTTCCAATCAGTGTCCACATAAACTGCCTAGATGCCCAGACCTGCATGGACGCTGCTCTCAAATCCTTACTATAATCAATGATTCCAGATGAGCGTGGAACGGTCGTTTGTATGGTAGATACTTCTGGTAAAAAGGCGAATCACGTAATGCTTTCATACACCTAAGAAACAGAGTTTAAATAGAAATTTCTTATGATTGTGCTCTTACCTGACAAGACTAGCAAACTCTTCTCCTGCATTTCTTTTTGAGGGATGAAACCGTTTACGATGTTCAGCGAAAGCTCTTTTGCAGTGCGAATCAAATGCTGAGAAAGAAGCAGTTAGCATGTCCTCTTCGGCCTAAAAAATAAATTTCAGTCAAACATCAAGAAAAATCTTCATTTTCAGGAATCAACTAGCTTTACCTTATCCAGTGTCATCGGTTGCCATTTGTCCAAAATGTTCTGCAGGGTTTTGGCAAGAAGGGTAAAGGAAATGTCAATGGATATCATTGACTGGAATGCGAGCCATCGACTAAAAATTTGAACTTATTAGGCTGCAAAAGTTTGTTCGCATCATTTCTGAATAATCATGATTTCCTTCCATCTAAATGGCTCTTAGCATAAAATTTATTGCAGTGAGTTAATTATATATTAATCACACATTCATACACGGTCTAACAGCCTTGACCCGTTTCTACTCTCAATATGGAGCTGGACTTGAGCTGTTAGTGGATATTTTATAGTTTTTTTAATACGGTTCGTGTTCTAAGCATTTTCGTTCTTTATTCCAAAGATAGCACGCCTAGTTTTTATTAAATAATTAAATAAATAAGATCCTGAAGGCAATGGGTACTTTCTTCTGGATACAAGTTACAGAGATAAAATGCAGAAGAGGATTACTCGAATTTGGTTAATTCCAGCAAGCTGATCAATTAAGCACGTTTGAACAAAAATCAGTTGTAGACATAAACCTGTAATCTTCTCTTTTCAACTGAGCATTTCGCTTTCAATTTTATTTCCACAACATAACTCTCGACTCTAAAAAAAAGAAAAGAAAACGCCTTAGCACATACCACATTGCCGTATGAACTTCCGTGAGATCACCTTGTAGAGCATGTTGTCGAAGAATAGTGTTAGCTTTATCTTGAAATACGCCATCCCACAACCGTACAGGAGCCTGAGAATTTAGTTTTTTTTCCTTCAGAGCAAGTTGAATAAAAAAAGGCTAAGGCTCACCCCACTGAGGCGAATTTCGTACAAAGCGAACTGTCTCATAAGTTCGATATGCTCTTTGACATCTAGTAGATCATCTTCTTCAGCTCCAATACGTTCTTCACGCGTGGAAAGCCAGAGCTGTAAACGGAAACTCGTAAAATTTGTTCATTGACGTTTTTTGTGCAGAAGAAAAACTCAGAGAAATTTCTTTTGCGTAGGCACAGAAATAAGATATTTTCTTGCACTTCAAATTTCACAGTAACTTGATATATGTTTTCTCATAGAACCATTAGGAATCAAATGTCTGGCCTTTCTCACCAGTTTTTATTATCCTTCCAACTACAATAGATGCTCTGATTTTTCCAAAGAAAAACACGCAAAATGCGCAAAGACGCATGTTTCGAATTTCTCTTATTCTGAAATCTAAAAGCTGCTTCCTATACCAGTCCAACCGTATTGGAGAGCTTTGTCTACTCATGCTACAATCTTGAGGTTGGCATCACTGTATGGAAAGGTATATAAATCTACTGTATAAATTCAAAAGAAGAAAAAACAAAAAAAACAAGCTATTCTGCGAGTTTGACGTGTTCTGTTGTAAATTAACTGTACTCGTATTCAATTATATGTGTAAGCAAAAATTCCTCAAAATTAATTCTATGGGAACTACGCATCATGAAATATGTATAAACAAAGGTGTAGACTGGAAAAACTTTTAGAAGTAATTAGTAGAAAATAAAAAAAAACTGCACAAAAGTAGGCGATTACTACCTTCAACTTCACGCTGCCGGATACTTTGCTTTTTTCAGAACGTGGCTGTAATGTGAACCATTGCTCAATGCCATCCGGAGGAATATCCTGTAATATAAACCAAATCTGTTTCAGTAAATTTTTGTAACTAATTTTACACTTACACTTAGATTCATACTAATGCATCCCAAAAAGTCATCTGTGGTATCTTCCGAATCAGCTCGTGCACTTTGCGCAACTTCTTTGAAGAAACGACCAAGACCCTAAACAATGAAATGAGTCACGAGGGGTGTCACATAAAATTAGTCAAATTTATGCACAAAAGCTATATAAGACTCGTTCATCGTGAAGCAGAGAAATATATGAGGTAAAATGTTTGGCAAGTATGAAGTGAAGCAAATTTTGCAGCCATGATATGAAATTTGAACACCGCACGCGGATTTCCTGTCTACATAAATTATTAATATATTTTGCCACATCATGATAGAATACTTACAGATCATGAGAAGTTTTAGGCCTTTGTATTCAGATTTTTTTTCGAAATTCTCACAAATGCGCTATTAGCTTACTTATGTAAACGACGTAATATTGCCTCTTTATTTGATTGTGAGTTTGAACCAAAACTGAATAGCGTAAGCAGTCCATGTACATTAAGTGGAATAGCCTAGGGTGAAAACTTGGAAAGTTTTGAGAGCATTCTATCATGATCCCTAAAAACGTAAAAACATCTGTAAAAAAAGCTTCTAATCTTTTACTTGCTCATATAGAGTGTACGCACACAAACATTTGTATACACTTGCTGTATCATTGCAGCCAGAATCAGGTAAAAGGGTAATCTAAAATGGGAAATTCTGCCCTACCATTTATTCTCACATGCGCACTTTTATACGACAATCAAGTAATGCCTCAAATATATACTCTTGTAGGTCCTCTAGTCTGAGAAATATCAGTTCAAAGCATGGGAGGAACATTATGTGAATTGATAATCAAAAGTACAATTGACTAAGACTTTTAGTTTGAAAAAAAGTGTTCATCCCAACTCCCTATAGCGAAACTGAAAATTTTTCAATCATCAACTCTATCAACTTTCATCACCTTGCATTCCAAGTAAAGGCCTTATTTCTTTTCTTTTCTCTATGTTACCCAAGCTCCACTTTTGATAAACTCCTATGTTTTTGTGCTCGAAGATCAGGAATGCAGGTGAAAAATGCTGACGCAAATGCGGAATACTATGGATGTTTCCATTTCATTTCTATACTTACCGCTGTTACCAAATGCATCAGAATAATTTATGCTTGTTAGAGCTGAAGTCGGAATTGTTAAAGAATATGAATAGTATAGCAGCTGGCAATGTTAAAAATAAAAAAGTTAGTAGCAAAGTACACTCACCTTGAATCCTCCACTAATTTGATTCAGTGATGATACCGCATCCAAAACGGACTGCTCCTCATCATCATGGTCCCTGAGTTGTTAGTAAATGTGAGTACGTATATATAGACTGCTGCATGACGAAGGCGCAATATTTTTGAGCGCGAACGCGGCTTTATTAGCCGCAGAGCGCATAAGGCGCAGGATTTAAACGGTGAGGATACGCTCGCCGCTTTCGCGCCCGCTTAACTAATACTGCTTCTGCGCCTTTGTCATGCAGTAGCCTTTACATGAGTGACGATAAAAAAGCGATTAAAGTAGAAAAAAACTAAAAAAAGTGAAATTACCAAATATCCATGTGAAATCGATCCGTTTGTACATCATCGACAATAAATTGAAATCGCTCATTCCATTGTGGATTTAGCGTCTTCTTTTGTACCGAACTGGCTTTGATCAATTTTGCAGGTATTGTGCCACTATCTGAACCTTAAAATAAACTTATTAGAAAACTATGTTACTTTTAGAGGAACGATAGAGTTGAAGTATACATGTGAAGAAGAAATAAATACTTATCTTAGCTCCTTTCTTTGCAACTTTTCGTCGAAATGATCCACCAAATCTTTGTAGGACGGTATCCTTTTTTAGTTGGAAATTCAACTGAATGGAGCAAAAAATTAGTAATCTGGGCAAACTCAAATACTGCATACCTGATTTTTCGGTGACTTGGGAGATTTTAGAGCTTCTTCTTCTACAGGTTCAATCACTTCAATCATTTCTCGTTTGCCTGGCACAACACCCATCATAGCGAATGGATCGCTGAATCCTGAAAAAAGAAAAATAGAAACATTAGCTAGGGTCAAGAAACAAAATAATCGGTAACGAAAAAATCCATATACATACCATTGATATCCTTTGCAATTAGATCTTTTGCTTCCAGTAGCAGAACATTCAGCAGCACAACGGGAGGCTTAAACATATTTGATTTTTTTTTCATACTAAGTTAGATCAAATAGGAATCCTACCTTGTTCTGCTTAGCTTTCTCCATGAGAGAATTGTGTAGCTGTGAATCGCCTTGAAAAGCAGATCGGACATATTTATAAAGATTTTCGCGACTTTCACATTCTTCTTTACCCACTTTATGGGTGATCGTGTACAAGGCTTCCACATACAATGCCTAAAATATTCAGATTTACTTTATGTTATTAGGTCGTACCGAAAGTTCTTGCGCACGATTTTCAAAAATTCATAACTCTTTAAATTCTCAACGAATTTACACGATCAAAATTTTGCTTAAGAGAGGAACTCATGCTCTTTGCAAACGTACCTGAATTGTTCGTTAATGTATATGAAGGAGATAGAAGCTCAAAACCGAAATCACTCAAAATTTAAATTTTTCGTGTAGGGTCATAAAAAATCGGAAACTGGCAACAAAAATCGGAGCAGTCGATATTGTAGGTTCTTTCACCAGCTCTTTCTAACAGTGCAAAGTTTGCGCTGATTGAGCGTCTTTATGAAAAGTTACGATATCCCTGAAAAATGCCAAAATAAATCAAATTCGCCCTTTTGTATTGCTTGCTCGAAAATCATAACTTTTCATAGAGACGCTCAATCGGCGCAAACTTTGCACTCTTAGAAACAGCTGATGAAAGAACCTGCAATACTAACTGCTCCGATTTTTGTTGCAAGTTTCCGATTTTTAAGACCCTACACGAAAAATTCAAATTTTGAGTGATTTCGGTTTTGAGCTTCTATCTCCTTCATTTGTATACATTAACGAACACTTCAGATACATTTGCAAAGAGCATGAGTTCCTCTCTTACGCAAAATTTTGATCGTACAAATTCGTTGAGAACTCAACGAGTTATGAATTTTTGGAAATCGTGCGCAAGAACTTTCGGTACGACCTAATAAATTAAAGAAAAAATTTGTTGTTCATAGAATCTGCAAAAGGGATGTTTATGAATTCTTAAGCGATGCAATCAACTACGTATCTTGCAAGCAACGTTTCAATCATTTGCAGCTTCTATTCATCTTAGGTTCTAGTACAATTTCCAAAATTAACTTCAAGTTCTGTTTACTGCCTAGTGATGGCAGCGAAGTGGAAAATATTCCCACCAATACCGGATTCTAAGAAAGTAGACTTGTTTTCCGCTACTATCATTCATTGGCACCTAACTATCTCACAAAGGCCAACATCACTCATTCTCACTCGTACATTATTCCACTCCAATAAATCTCTCGTACCTCGAGTTGTTTTCTATCAGCATTAAGTGTGAGATTTCGAATCGTGAGCAACTCATCGTCGGCTAATTGTTCCACATCCAACGGTTGAGTAATCCGCTCAAAGAAATTGTTGTCGGATGCTTGTACTCTGAAATAATCATAGTGACGCAAAAGAGCGTAGGTGTTGACAAATCTAATTGCACAACTCTTTGCTTGATGCAAATTAAATTACTTTTGCCTTCACTGACATTCAGTTTCACAGCTGTCAAGATTAGTGGTTTTGCAGTTTCTTTAACTTATTTCCATCCGATAGAGGCTTTAGTAATTAGGCGCATTATCTTTTCTTATGATAGTCATTTATCTGCACGCGCAGAGATTCAAGTGAAAAAAAAAGAAAATGTCTGGAAAGATTTGCATTACATTTTTCTCTGAAAGGATGTTATAGTGGATCATATAGCTAAATAAATTTGCTACATAAATTTAACAACTTCGTATTTGGTGAACAAATTTGTTAACAGAAAAATTCACTACTATGATAAGCAGCGCTTGTATGAATTCTGTTGAATCTCAGTTTGCTACTTCATTCTTAGATAACGGATGGAGAGCTTACGTAACTCCGTTTTATCATAAAGAAAGTACTTTTTCTAGTTCCTAACAAAAAAATCTATAAAAAGGCAGCAGCTAGCTGTATCTTCCATTTTCTATATTTCTAGACTGTCCCATCGCACGTAATGAGTTTTCAAAGGAAAATGAAGAAAACTCAAAAAGAAAAGCAATACATTCTTAGCGCTCAATTTCATCATTGGCTACATTAGCATAGCCATAGACTAAATTATTAGGCTAACTATGTGACTCCTTTGACGCACATGGCATCCTAGAAAAGCGAAATAGACCTGCAGAAGCTTAATGAACATTTTTTTGAGGTTTTGTGCTAATTATTAAAATAATTCTCACCGTATGTAGCATAGGGGAGCTTTATGTTATTGAGTGACCTTCAAAAAACCATATTTTTCTTTTCACATGAATAACGCTGATTTACAATGGTCAAAGTACGAAAAGACTAAGTGCATTATGAAACACGTTAGTTACTGTAATCACATATTACAGTTATTCATATGCACATGTGATTGGAGTTGATCGCCCTTTGAAAAGGTAACAAGGATTTACGCCTTGAAAGGGCTAAGCTGCTTTTTGCTTCAAATGAAGCCTCTCATCATTTCAGCAGGAAGAGTAATCCAATCCTCATGGGCTCAAAATTCCAAGGTTTGCAAACATTCAACATCAAGTTGAGCATTTGTAAGATTTGTCAAAGCTAGTCCATATATGTTGCGATAAAGTTCTGCGTGCATATAGGACGTTTCGCATCGACTGATGAAAGAAAATTACGCGATGTCATTTCTTCAATTAAATGTGCCCGTACACACGTATAATTGGAACAATGAAGCATCGGATTAAATGCTATGGATTAACGACGCAATTTCATCACTTCTATGGTCAATTCTGGGCTTGCTGGGAACGTTGAAATATCCTTAAGAGTGTGTGAACATTAGGCATCTCTAAATTAGTCATGGTCTAGGGAACGCCTGAGGTAAATAGCGATAATAACAATTTGCTTGTCGCTACTGACCGAGAAGCAAAACAGCAGCGCCGTCAACGCCATCAAGAGGGAATTATTCTCACCCACACAATGAGTCACGCTCGACTCGTCTATAGGGATGTGCCTGATCGCGAATGTCAGTGAGTTTGCGGGCATTGCTCACGTACGCCAACGGAAATTGCTCAATTCTCTTTTTTCGGTCAAACGCAATTCTTTCTTCAGATGTTAGCTTCCAAAAACTCAAAGCGATTCTTGAAAGTACGGAAGTAATTTCGTTCATTCAAGTAGTTCAAGACTTCATGGCGTACTGCGTGAGCAATGTCCGCAATCGAAACGAACCCTCACGATTTGGCAAAGCCCTACACGCAGATTCACCAGCCCTGTGCAATATTTTTTTAGCAAAAAGTAAATTCTCTGCTCTGAATGCATAGAACCTGCCTCAATTGTCTCTCAGATGACCAAATCGAGCGATTCTTTTACCAACAGTGCGTGAGAATTTTACTCTGTTTCCCGTCCAGGGCTCGGCACGGCACAGGTGGCTTACAAGCAAGCTGGATATCGATTTTGGGACAAAAAGCAAAGAGGATAACGTTTTTGTAGGTCCAAATTTGTGTTTTTTAGTCGAATTGGATATTTCGGATAAGGGTCAAAGGAGCTTCGTAAAATTTTGTCAGGAGGGACTTCGTTTCTTGCATTTTCGAAAAGCCACCTCGTACCGAACCCTGTTCCCGTCTCTTCCCTGGTACAAAGACTTGCATGCTCTTCCCACTGAATTTAATTACCAACCCAAAAGTTCGCAAAATTAGCGACAAATTACTTGTAAAGTGCTCGAAACAAAAGGTAAAGATGCTTCCGTATACATTGCATATGTCATTTTCGAATGTCGTTTCAAAGTTGCCGTATCTCTGACGTCAGTGCAGCTAACAGACAGCGCCTCATTGGCAGCTATAATTGGAAAATTGAGGAGGGAGCGCGGCGAGAATTAGAGTTACTACTACGAGTTTCGTGACTCTAAAAGTAAAAACTTCAACTTGATGCCATTTGAGAAATTGCGGGGACAATGCATAAGAAAGTAATAAAAATGTGATATTAGCGTTTAATACCATGCTTCCACATAGCTATTTGGCGGAATGGGTAAAATGCACAGAGCAGCGAAAATGCCCAATTTGTTGGAACAATAAACTATTTGCACGCGAAAGGATAGATCTAACGACAATTTCTTAAATATGAAAAATCAGCACTTTTTTCAGAGGGTAAGCTTGCATCTTCATAGTTTAAACAAAAAAAAAAACAGGAAGAGAAATACACACGTACAAGATTTCAGCTTCATATCGAAAACTGACGCATGATTTAGCCACCAAAGCACCGTTTTCAAGTATCAAAAAGTAATATAGTATTATAACAGCTACAAAATCTGGAAATAATGTTTCCATTGTTGTACGAAAACAAACCAAACCATGTCATAAGGAGAGCGGTAGAAAAAGCTAAGAAATGTGTTCGTTTTCTCAATCGAATGTAAATTGAGACATCAATGCTGTGAGGTCTTTTCTTTCATATTTAGGCCTTTTTTGTAATAATGAAGGTAATATTTTTGCCGTAGAAATTCCATAAAATTGAAATGAATGCAAATAGTATTGTGAGTATTTGTCAAGGTTAAAGGCTAGCCGACAAAGAAATCAAGAGTAATTGTTACCGATAAAAAACTCACATTTTCCGTCGAGCCGGCCGGAGCCGCGCTGCCCTCATGGCACTGCCTCAAGCCACACCCCCACGCACCAGCAGATAATAAAACGGGGGTTTCATAATCAAATGCGCGCTGCAGGCACACACAGACATAGAACCCGGGGGCCATATCAATTTGACCGGGGATGTCCTCCCAGGAATGTCAGAACCACTTAATCAGCATAGACCTTGACGAAGAAGTCGGAGAAACAACATGTAGATGAGGCATCGCGGCAGCACGGGCGCAGGGGGGAGGGGGGGGGGGGGAGGTGGCGCTCACAAAAGAAAATACCATAAAGTTACTAAAAATCACTTTTTTTTCACCTATAGGCGAATCATCTCACGCAGAGACAGGGTGGCACTGCATACACTGGGCATCTCTCTGATCAAGCGCTCTCTCATTTCTCTTGCCGTCTGCTGTCTCTATCATGCCCAAACTATCTTAGATGGATGCAATGGAGTCCAATCTCTGCGTGCGATGAATTGCCTATACTTTCTTTGGAAAATAGCTGCCATGAACCAAACTTTAGCGTCGAATCTCAACAAAAAAATAGCGAAAATAACTTATTACAAAATCCCGATCAACAATTAGTAAATTTATTCTTCCATAAAGTTCCAACTTCTCAATAAGATGAATTAGTCAACCTTGATTCACAGTAAACCCACAAACGCAGTGATTAATCAAACTTTCAAGCGCAAAGGACAACACAATGTCCTTCATTTACACTTAGTACATGTATAATCGTTCATCAGTCCAATAATAAGCGTTGACATAAACGTCTCAGAAAAAGACAAGTGGCTTGAAATTGTGTTCATCTTTTCAAGTAGCAAGAATCTGCCAAAATTTTACCGTATAGAAGTAATCGTCTGTTCTCAAGCTTAAGGGAACTAAGGCAATTCTCCATAGTATTACGGTAAACATTGAGTCTCATAATCTTTGTTTCAACCGGCTTGGCGGCTGGAAAGAGGAGCTTTGTGACCTAACTAAGGTCGCTCGCGCCCGCGAGGCAGTCTGCGTCTCTCTTGCGCGCCTGCTCTCTGATCATTATTTAGCCTTGATTAGGTCACGAAGCCCCGCCTTCCAACCGCCAACCCAGGAGAATCAAGAGGTACATGGTGGGCTTCGGTAAGATTTTGAGCTATTGAAATGTTCACTGAATTCAAAAGCTATTCATGGAAAGTACCTGTACTTTAATGAAAATGTGTCGTGGTCATTGTTCTGAGCTTCGGTGGACAGTCACAAAAGCAAAGATAAGTCAGAGAGTTTGTTCAGAACCGGAAGATTTAATGCGGTGATTGGGGGTAGGTCATGTCAATCTCGCCTCTGTGAAAATTGGAGGTTCGGGGCATAAGTCGCAAAATAAAAAAAAACTGAACCTTGATGTTGGCAAATCCACTTCTGTAAATTTACGACTTTGCTACTCCATCAAAATGGGTGGTATAAAACTAATAAGCAGCAAAACAAGTAAAAATTTCTGCTACTCAACGCTGTCAAACAAATTCGAATTGCAAGGTCGATCGTGTAAGACCAAATAAGAATGCACATTTCTGGCTTTTCACTCTTTCCTTTTTCCTATTTTTGAAACTCTTGTCCACTTTTCTGCTACTGGATTTTGAAGGCATCACAAAAGATGGCAACAAAGCTTTGTAGGTGTAGTATATATTTGCAATACTAAAAACAAATAAATTCCTAATTTCCGTTTCTTTTCTACCACCAGACGGAAATCAGACAAAAATTGCGATCTTCCCGGAAGTCATCAGTGGGGAAGGAAAAATGTCAAATCCAATCAAATCAAAAATCAAGGTAACCTCAACCAATTCATTCCAAT